TACAAATATTGTAGTAAAACTAGCCTCCCGAGGTGATCCATGGACATTCTATTTTCCCGAGGCGAAGCCGAGGGAAAATAGAATGCTCCATGGATCACTGAGGGAGGCTAGTTTTACTACACCACGAGATAAAGCAGTCAATATTTGTTTTATAACACCTCCCCCACAGATTCTGCTTGGTTTTAATATTTCAAATTATTTAAATCTGAATACAGTTGAAATAAATTTCAATTTCAGTACAAAATTGGTGGAAAATGTATTTCTCTCTTCCAAACTACCCTTCACGAAATGTTTGAACCCAACTCTGTGGCGCTCTCTTTGGAACAAAATGCGCAACGCGCAACCCAGCATGCATTTGCACACAAATACCGCGCCGTGGATATAGTACTTTGGTTGCTAATGGTAGTTCTTTGGTTGCTACGGGTATAGTACTTTTGGCCGTGCACACACATATAGCAAAAATAGCGAGTACATGTGACTCGCTCTTGGCCAATCAAGACACAGAATCTGTGGGTGAGGTGTTATAAACTAATCTATTGCACACATAGACGACAACATGTACGCCTCTCCAGTGCCACAGAGCACGTTCCAACAAACAGCCATGCATCAACTTCCCAAGTAATTTTACAATTTTATACAGCATGTGAGTGGACTAATTTCATTTGAATTGCTAAAACAAGATTACATATACACAGTTGCAGTCATCAGAATAAACCTTAACTACTGTGTGTTTCATATGTAACATACTGGAGAATTTCTTTATCCACTGTGTTTAAGCTGGAATCCGTTATATCAATCATTTGATCAACAACCCATCGGGAAAAAAAACTATTTTATTTTGCAAGTCCTTTTTTGCAAATCAGTTTTTCAGTTGGAATTTTGTAGTTTTGCAAATAAAGATGACCCTCTTGACTGAATTCTGTGTTCCTTTTTTCAGTTGATATTGTCTCTCTACTGTCAATACAGATATTTGTTTGTATCCTTCATCATTTGGCAACACAAGGAAAAATACATGTACAAAGAAAGGATTTAAAATGTGAATCAAATACGGTTGTGGTCATATTCTGTTTTATAAATATAGTTTCAATTTTTTGAGGTTACAATTCTTGTTTGGTTACTCATGATGGCCTAGTCATTCCAAATACCTACATCGGGTCCACTGCTGCTGTCTTTTGTCCCAAATTGACAAATAGAAAATCAGAATCGCCGAACCTTATGTTTCATATTAAATGTGATCTGTTTGAAAAGTGGCTACAATAGTGTCGTACCAGCAAACAGCATTGGGGCATACTATAAAGTTTGGGTCCAAAGTGCGACATTTTTTCTGTCCCTGTTGCCTCTTAACCGCGAATTTGTCACACAATTATCATTCAAAATGAGTTCAAACTGTTCTCATTTGTTGGATAGGTAGTTTGCTTTCAATCACTCTAAGAGGGTAAAAGGCATTAAGGGATGCGTCCAGAAGTCACAAAATTGTACACGTCGGATGTAACGGGAGGAAAAATAGTGGAGCCTAAATGTATAAACAATCCAGTGACATGCATTTTTTTTTAGGTGAACCAGGTCCTGCTCAGGTAGTACACACACACAACGGGCTCCTACAACCAATAGGGTTACAAAAATGCAAGCCCGCCTTGTCTTTCAGATACATGTCTTTAAGTATTACAGCTTTGCATTCAAAGCCTGGTTTTTGCAAACACTGTTGCGCATGCGTTGAATTTGCATATTTTTGCATATTAGATCACGCCCCATTCCTTTTCGTTTTCTGTACTCTCTGGTGCACAGACGGTGTCGTATAGCGGTCTTCACGTTACCCGGCCGCTGTAGGTTGTACCACTTGGAACTTGGGGTTTTTTTTAAGTAGTAGTTATACACATGTATTTCCATGAATGACTGAAAAGTTGACCAACTACTTGACTGTTATGAAGGCTTCTTGAAACGGTTACGTGCGATTAAAAATATACTAATAATAACTAAATTAACCCCCTAAACTGTATAAGGATATTGTTTGGTACAAGAAGTCAAAGAAGTACATGTACACACAGTAATTACAGATGTCTTTCCTTTAATACATTCAAGGCAAGATTATAATAGTCATAAAAAAAATGGATGCAAGTCAAAAATCAAATAAGATTATGGGCTCACATATCAAATATAACTTGAATAGAAATCATCATTATCACTCAAATTACAGGCAATAGGAAACTGCATCAATTTTTTTGAATTTCTTTGATCGATGTAGTCCATCATTTGCAATTAAGAAGCACCGTTGGAAAGGCCTTCTTTTGTTGATTTCTGCTAAATGACAGCTTGCCAGAAAGAATAATTTCACAGGGAGTTTAGTCCCCTTACTATCTTTCATCCAAGTATGTTTTTCAACAATAATTAGCCAGTTACTTTTTGGGTAGCTGCAAATGATAGACTCTGGCTTTAAAGCATTTTAATGTTGAGAATCAAAACATTGGAGGGATATTTGTGAAAAGAGCTTTGATTACTAGTGATATTGGTAACTAATTTCTAAATGCCTTGTGAGTCCTTATACAAACACAAAGCTGTCTTTTAAATTGGCCTGTAGAAAGATGTATAAATCCAACATCAGAAATATATACAATTATCAGAAATCCCAATGAGTTCGAAAAAAGTCACAAATTATAAAAAGGCCTTTTTTACAAAAATAGTTACTTTTGCAAATACATTTATAGTAATATAAAAGGTTTCAGTAATAAGATTATTATTACAAATCATTAAAAATGTTGAAACTGATCTTATAACAAGCGCAATGCAAACATGTTTCCAGCAACAAAGACTTATTAAAATCTTAGACTGATATACACTTTTATAATGAAATAATTGCTGTACTTTGCACATATTTATCATCTTCATCCCCATTTAGTTCATTTTGGTATTTATTAATCTTGATATAAATTGTTTTAAACATGCATATTGATGCTCATATCGATTTCATTATACCGAATTATACACAAATCAACCGTTAATAATGAAATAAATCTTACATTTTAATTAATAAAACTTGAGAATATTATACTTAGAAATATAAACATTTCTCAGCCAGATTTATCTTCTGTTTATGTACACATACACTGCAGCATGCAACTGTCATTTCTATCCAAAAGAAAAATGTTATGTGGCATGAGAAGTAAAGTCAAAGGTTTATATAACTACCTAGGTTGAGAACCAACCTTTTGATATAGTGTATTTCTATCTGTTAAAGGGAAAATACAACATTTGCAAACATCAAAAAATAAAATTACCAAATCATTTTGAAATACCTTGCTGGACTGTTAGTGAATGACAGTGTAAAGCATCCTGTAAAATCATGGCACCTGGTATACTGTCATTTTCAAGAAAAGTGGTATTTTGTATCAATTTCCAACGCTGATCGGCCGATCAGCGTTGGAAAAAACTGGCTTTTTTTCAAATACTGGCCCCAGTTGACCATCGCACTTGTTTGCAATCGATTACACACCTATGAACGGGTACAAGCCAGCTAGACTGGTTCCCTGACCTTACAATTCCCCAATATTTGTAAACTGCTTTGTTTCTTCTTAAATGGAGTCAGGGGACCAGACTACAGGAAAATGATTGTTTTTCTTGGTTTTTATAGCATTTTCGAACCCAAAACCTCAAAAAGTCAGTGTAACTATATTTGCTATATATTTCCAACCCCCCAATTCCATCCATTTCTGAAAATTACAGCAAAAGCAAATGATGTATATTCCCTTTAACAAAGAAAAACACCAACAAAATGTTCATTTCCTTTATACTACATCAATAGCATGCTCAGTTGAGTACAAGATACAATACTACATCTATACTTCTCTTCACCGACTACATGATCTTTACTATACATTGAAAAGATACATTCTAAAATTAATATATTTGTGAGGGGTTCTTGCAAAATGAGATGGAACGGGGCACAGGTCAGGTCATACTGGAGATACATGTCAATGCAAACAACCAAATGGGGCTGTTGAGTTTGTTTTTGATTTTTCAGATTTAGAGATTTACATGTATGTGATCTTTCAGATTTGCATTTATTTTCTTATAACTTTCATAATCTACACATATGTTAAGGACTACCTGGTACATTTGGCATCTTTGGTTTTCCCTACAAATCTCGAAACTTTAAAGACCTTTTTCTCAGTATTTTACTTTTTTGACATGTCAATAAATGAACTTGAAGCAGCCCTACTTGGCAACGGAGTGTCGGATCAACGAAGTGCAACGAGCAGTATTGTAAGGAGAATTGATCTCTTTTCTCATACCTGCAAATCCTCATTTGACCCCTGCACAGTTCTATCTCCTGTTGCCAGAACGCCTCTCATTTGGTTAAATGTACTTGATTTATTTATCTAATTGATCGACCCCTGTTCCATCTATATATTTCATAGTTATTTTCCACTTGATGCATGTACATGTGTGTGAAAATTCCTTGATACAATTGTTTACCTATGCTGAATCCAGTCAATGCAGAACATCAAAGCAATGAAGAAATTGTCCCCCCAAAAATTATATTGGTACATACCCATGAATGCAGAACTGTACATGTACGTAGTTTCACTTTACAATATATATGTATATACTCATACTTGGTAAAACTAGTCAAACCTCTGAAAAGGCAATCCTGCAATATAAACTGCACTAGTGCTAAAAACTATTCACATGAAACAGTTTCTATCCAATTTGCTTGTTCCCATTCAAGTCAACAAAGTTGTAAGGTGTCATATAAATGTTCCTCCAAACTGGCAATATGCCATGGATTGCTTGTATAGCTACGATCACAGTGTCATGCAGCACGTTTGACATTTTTGGTAACTACATGTACATGTACTGTGTAAGCAGTTGTGGTGTATGGCTGGATAGTTTCAAACATCAGGAGTCTTTGCATGTAGATGCATAGATTTACACAAATGCCATATTAAGTGTTAGAGATAATTTCTTCAAACTTCAGGACAGAAAAGTTAGACAAATTAAATTTCTTTTTTAAACCCCACCTGATTGTACTTGAAAAAACCTTGTGGGCCTACACTGCCACCATGGAGTATACCGCAAAGTTACATTTGGCAAGTGTTTATTTAAGCTAGGTCTGGAGCTACATGTACCTTGAAAGATAAAATCAAATGCTTGTTTTATTTAAAAAATAAATAACAATATAAATGGGTTCTGGCATTGGGAATAACCTGCGTTGATCTATGGGCATATCGAAATGTTCACAGTGTCATGTAACAACATCAGATAAGCATGAGCCCGCTAAGACATAGCTTTTATATCTCAAACATATTCATTCATGAGAGCCAAATTCTAACTGGTCAATTCACCATCACTTGGCCAGCGGCCAATGAGGTATAGTAAACCAAAAATATCATGATTTATTTTGGGTGAACTAGGTTATCAACTTGTTTGACAACTTCTATTACCTCACAGAGATAATATTGACTGTCATCCCTCAAACCATATAATGTTTGTAAACTGCAGTTTATTCAAATGGAAAAGGCTTATGGTAAAATACATGGACCAAAAGAGAATACTACTATTTCATTCATACATATCATTATCTTATGCCATGTTTAACAGATTCTTCAGGTTTTTTTTCTAAATGGCAGTCCATTTAGTAAAAGTCTTTATTCACTACAACAATGTTCACCTGCATAAGAAGAAAAAACACAATTTCTGCTTCTTTTGTTCATATTATATCACTAGAAAATATTTACATTCTGCCGTTATTTCTCAAATTGGGGGGGGGGGTGCTTTAGCTGTTTTATGCCGAAAAAGCCGCCCAAATATTTAAATTCCATGGAAAGTACATATTGTCATACATTAATTGTTACTACATCTGGTGTTACCCAGATACATGCAATTCTATTTTGTGGGTTACATCTATATAAATTGTTCTGTCACAGTATATGTCTGTCATCTGTGTAGGCACTAAATACTAAGAACAAGGATGGACCTTAACAAAATAGGTCTAAGCTTTGATATAAACTGGCTATATTTTACAAAACTACATGCAAATATATTCAGTGGAATTTAAATCTCAGCAAATATCGCCAACTGATTAACACATTACAACCTGTACCGCCCGAAAACACCCACACACTCTATGGTTTATGGATTCTTTAGGGAATAAATGCAATGTTATGCAATGTACATGTAGTACAATGTACATGTGCTAATGTTAAGTAAGTATACTAACAAATGTAATGAGCCAGCAGAATCCACATTACATACAATTATGAACAGCAAACTCACGGTGTCTGGTCCAGTCAAAGTTCCATCGCTTTTACCTACATTCTCAGATCATTCTGCATACACTGAAAAATGTCAACCAAAATATCTTAAATATAAAAAGTCATTTTCAAAATACAGTTAAAGATTACTTCTCAATTTAAAACCTCTAAATATTCTACCTTATGTTGTTTTTCTTTATAACAGATAACAAAACATTTCTTGGATACAATAGAAAAATCAAACAGCTTTTTTGTACATGAACCATGTAATTATTTGATTACATACCGGGCACATTGTCACAAACATAAGACGTAGTTTGATAACAAAAAGTCATTTATACCCAAATTACTGTAGCCAATATAGTTTGATTAGTTTGCAAGAGTATCCAATAGACGCCTTGCATGGTGCCCCCTCACTGAGGGCAGGTTTTGTCATGTCATTCAGAGACACAATGCATCTACTCATGCATACAACAGAGGAACAAGACCTGCCCACAGATGCAAGGGGCCTATAGAACTTGTAAATACCAGCACCCAACATTTACATGTACACACAGCTGAATGAACTGAGTGAACTTACAACCTGAAATTGAAATATAGCACAATACAAAAGGCACTTTAGATAGAACCCTTCCTTGCATGAGAGATCTCATGATCTATCTCCAGTTTTACAGCTGGACTGGTGCTGTGGTATTGTTTGTGTCTGCCTTGATCCAGCTACTGGGTGGTGGGGGTGGAGACTTCGGCTTTGGCACACGTTTTGGAAAACCTTGAAAAACAAATGCACAGAGAGACAATTATTGTAACCAAAGAAAGCTCTCATAAATAAAACAAAAATTAAGAACAAACAAAAAAATATTTGGGGGGGGGGGGAATACGTGTGATCTTTGAAAAGTAGAAGTTACAGATGCTCTCACTGCTTTGGAACAACTTAGTACAGTTGTTTAAATTTCAAATCTTTGACTAACTTGTTGTCAAAGGCCACTTTAAATAATAAATACTTGAAAACAGAGAGATACAATGTGATATCTGCCCTGATACTCACTGATATCACACTTGTGGAACATGCTTGGTTCTTCCTTGTAAGTTGGTTCATACTCTCGGAGTGTTTTTTCTGCAAGAAAAAATCATCAAAACATGAGCAGTTAAAAAGTCTAGGCTGATGGAATTGTACCAGTAAACAATGCCATAGAATGAGTTTTCCTTCACGTTGTACGTTGTTAAGTTCAATTACGAACAAGTCAACGTACACACACACAAATGAAACTGTCATGAATTCACCTTTGAAACAACTGCTTGGTACATATTCTCAATTGAGCTTTAGAACAAACTCAGCAATTTGTGTTTAATGTAAACATTTCTTAGGAAAGAAAATGACATCTGATTTGAAATTTAAGAAATGGATAGCATTCATTTTGAGTGTTCTGTATGTAAGATAAAATCACATAACGCATTCAAAATAAAAATAAAACAAGCACATAAGTCATGTCTTGATTTACACCTAACTATTGGTTTGATGACCAGCAACTTGATGCCTCACATCAGAAAACCTAGTATGCTGGTTAAGAATGGCACACTGCAGTACATGAACACCGTATCTCTTGAATACGAGAGAACAAAAGCGTTTACACTAATACTTCTTATTCTTTACCTCAGGATATCATCATGACATCACACTTGTCTGATCTCATATCTTTAGACCAGGGTTGATGTTTTTTTCAGGTTTTAAGTTTACGTTGTACCATTTTGAAGAAAAATGGCAAAACAAAAATTAATGAAAAGAGTCAAACAAACTCCAAAGGGGCAGAGCGTCTGCATGCCTACTATTTAATAGTCAGACATTCATACTTATAATTTCATTGAGGTCCGATGCAATGCCAGCTTGAGGACTACTTGACCCACGTAAGGTTGAGGGAGGAGAGGATCTGCTGCCGGTTGGTGCAGGTGCATTCCTGGTGACCGCATCTCCAATCTGATCGGAAATAAAATCAAACACAGGAGTGATTGATTGGCATGTAGTAAAAATAAATATAGCCACTTGGTTATTTCTGCTACTTTTTACACTCATCAATGCAGATGATTATTAAAAAGAAATGATGAGAATTAAAAATGCACTGGCTTTCATTTGTAGCAATTACTGTCAGAGTTTATTACTTCATGATATGTAGCTCCATTATTATGTCAGTGGGAGCATTTTGGACCTGATAGGAATTCCATTCTTAGAAACCAGACTGTGCAGACAATTTGTGGATGCATGTAATGGATGATGAATAAATGGGCCTCAATGTTATTCAAATTTGTAACTACCATATTCTCAATTGATAAAATTGGTTTGTTTTTGGGGTTTTTTTTGCAAATAACCGATATTGAAATGAATTGGAAAAGAAGTTAAATTAAGGAGAAGGAAGCCAATAATGATATCCATTATTATTGATGTCAGGCTTCCAGTGGTATATATATTATAAATCAACATATTTTAGACTTTCATAAAAAGTACCCGCCCCATTTGCCACCAGGCCAAAGGCAGCTGAGAGGCTTAATGAACACATGCCCTGGAACACAGGAGCGAGTGGCATAACCAATTTTTAGTCATGAAAACTGGACAAACAGTAAGGATGCAACGCATATACTGTGGTAATGCTTTAGTTGTTATCCAACTTCATGTGAAAGCAGCAAGAAAATGCATGCATCTTAGAATAGTGTGATACGCACAGTGAAATATGGACCCTGCAACAGTCAATATCACATTGTTCTTTCCATTGATCAACCAATCAGGATTGTGGATTCAAGTTTGCTTAAAGATCAATTAAAAGCATGACTATCAAACTTATTGCTGAATTTGATCGACACCGTCTCAGTATTCCAAATTAGTATCACAGCATTGGCAGTCCAATGTTTTTCTTTTGCTTCTGTCTCAGGCCTTCTATGTGCACAATGTTATACTCTAAATGGTTTGCAAAAAGTACTGCAAGAGCTATAATTGCTGACAATGAGATACTTTCCCTGGTATTAAAATAGTAGGAAATGAAACTGTTTGATGATGAGTAGCATTCATCTGGTTGCTGCTGCTACAGGACAGAAATGAATTGGTAATGCCAACATAGCATGTACATATCCCTAGAAATGGTACAAATGACAAGACCATACAGTACCCTGCCCAGAATGTGTAGTGAAGAATAGGCCTTGATGATAGGTTTGATCTATGGGTACACATGTAAATACATTGTTCTGAGGTCCAATACTCTTCCAATTCAAATGAGTGTGTCCATACTGACCTTCTGTATAGTGTTCATTCCATATTTAGCGAAGCACCGAGGCCAATCAAGGTTTTTGGAGATGTATAGAGGTGTGTGCTTTTGTTCAACAGTGATACGCATGAGTAGACCTCTTGTGCATTCATTATTACTGAATTAACACAAAAAGCACACCTCCAAGATGGCAGCTGAATGCAATCCATCTATTCTGCTTTGTCCACTTTGCTCTAACCCCAAAAAACGTCTGAAATATGTCACATGACGTATTATATTAAATAGTAGAAATAATGGTTTAAGAAATACCTTTGTAAGGATGCCCTTTGTATTCGAAGCAAGTTTTTCTTTATGTGTTGCAAGCTTGTCTCTTTGGTTGGCAAGGAACTGGGCAAACTTTGGCTTGGAACTGTACAAGAAACAAAGGAAAAATAAACATATAAGCTCATCAATTTAATGGTTCTGCTTAACAGTTAACAGAAAAACTGTGAAACTTTGTCAAAAAATTTGCCAACCTACAATGTAAGCGTATTTCATGCCGTGTGCACATAGAGATTTCTATAATGACATCTCAAACTTTAGCATTTTTTTTTTCCACGAGGTTAGTGTGCCTTTTAAGTGCTTTACTTGCAGTCTCCATGAAACACACAGAAGCTGAGCAGCATATTGTGTGCTTAGAGAGCCAGGGAATTGGGCTATGGTAATGAACACAATTAAAATCAAAACAAGATTTGGTTTATTGCTATTTATATACAAAGTATACAATAGAAATTGCTGTGGTTCTTGTGCTTACAAAACATTAAAATACACTAATAAATATTATTAAACATTAAAAAAATGCACCAGGATTTGTATTTAAAACATTAAATTGCCACGAAGAAGAACAATTTTAAAATGACACTCAGAGTGATTCAAATTGAAAGGTATTTAAACATATGAAGAATATCAAGTGAGTGATCTCATTGAAGCTGTCAGGTTACTTCATTTCATTCAGTCCCCTGATTGCAGTAGGATACAAATTTCTCCTGAATCTTTCTGTATTGCATTTGATTACTCGGTAACGCTTCCCTGATCTCAACAAATCACAAAACTCATTAGCCAGATGAAATTCATCATTGATAATAGCACCCCCTCTCTTCTTTAATCTGGTGTTATAAATTTCTGAAACTGACGGGAGATCTCTACAAACAATATATGTAGTCGACTCTCTCCAGTGCCTGCCGGTTAGCCATGGCAGTCCTGCCATACCACACAGTGATAGCCTGTGTTAACACTCTTCCCACTATCGCAGGATCAAACTTGACATTAAACAGATCATTAGGGAGGTGGAAACTATTGCGACGTTGACGGTAAAACATCCTTTGTTGTGCTTTCCTAATGCAGTGCTCAACGTTGGCATCCCAACTTAAATAATTTGATAAATGAATGCCAATTTAAAAAATAATTTTAAAATTTGAAATTTCTACATCGGTCCCATGGATAACAAGTGGAGAAATTTCATTCTGACTTGAAAGGAAATTGACTATGATATCCTTAGTCTTTGTAACATTGAGGTTCAAATTACCAGAGCACCACTGCGTTTAGGGCTGAGTTTGATTGCAGTAATTATGTTTGTTGTTACCTTTAATGAGTCCAACAACAGTTGTATCATCTGCATATTTTACAATTGTACAGTCATCAAATGAAGAAACACAATCGTAGGTGGACAAAGAATATAACAATGGTGATAGCACACACCCATGAGGAGCACCAGTACTCATGACAATTGAGTTGGAAACCAAGGAGTTCACTCCAAGTACTACTTGACTGCAATCAGGAAGAAAATTATAGATCCAACTACAAAAGGATGAGTTTAATAACAAGAGCAGTGAGCTTATTATACAATTCAGATGGAGATATTGTATTGAATGCAGAACTGAAATCAATAAAGAGAAGTCTAGCGTATGTTGAGGATCTACTGTCTAAATGTTCAAGCAGATAATGCAATACAATGATAATGCATCAACAATAGACCGGTTGGCACGGTATGCAAGCTGCAAAGGATTTAAAGCTTATGGAAGTGCAGGCTTCAGATGATTCCAAAATATAAGCCCCGGTGATTTCATTACTTGAGAAGTGAGCACAACTGGCTGATAATCATTCAAACTGATAACATGATACTGTTTAGGTACTAAGGTGAGATCTGACGCAATTTTATGACCAATTAAATATTGATCTATATATATAAGAGCAAGTTTTACTCGGCCTCCGAGAAATGTCTGCTCCTGAAAGGATCCGAGACCGCAGGCTCCCGCGATGCCAAAATCGCGCCACGTCTGTGGAAAAATGTGGAGGGTGTCTTCCGCCAGTTCAGAGACTTCAGGTCATCCTTATTTTCGCGTGCGGACGGGCGATCAGTTTCGTCGATTTTTCGTAGCTTTTAACAGGAATGGCCGTGGTGTGTGCTTTCACATTGATTGCCTGGCGGCCGTCTGTGTTGCCTTTTCTACGAGTCAAGGCTGTGCATGGTCAGCGGCTTGAACTTAGGGGCTCAGTTTACGTATTCTACTATCCCCGCTGTTGAATAGCGTTAACCAAACAGTAGTATGGGGTAACCTTGGAAAAATATATTTTGTCCATGTTTGCTAGGCTATGCTTTGCATGCGCCCGTGACCAAGCACAGTGAATAGAAGGGCCACAAATTGTTATTTTCATGTGGTTCCAGTTTATTTCGATAGGGGGGCTACTTTAAATATACAAATGTAGCTCATTTCTTGGGATTTCATTTTTAACACCAGTCACTCTTCCAAAACCAATCTTCCCAGATATTACACTTCCCAACAAAGCTTGGAAGCGACTTTCTGAAGCTTTGAATTAAATTTGAATTACTGTTAGTTTACATGATATTGATAATCTCTTTGCCCAATCAGCTAATAGGGCTATTTATTTCTTATTTTCTATCTCTTTCATTTCTATAACTGCACGTCTTCTCAACTAAATCCCCCATGTACATTACTCCCCACATTTTCAACCCCGACACAAATACGCCCTACCCGATCATGATTGGGTAAATCAGCTTGTATAAAATAAATGGAAGTTCATGAGCACACGGCACACTATCAGAGTAGTGATATAAAGACCAAAAAAGGGTGGTACATTTGACACAAAACTAGCGCAATAGAGTGATGAAACTCCTCTAGCAACAGCACTTAATCATTTTCTCTTTTTGCAATATTGTGAACCTTGACAAGGAGAGATAACATTAAATTTCTACTGCTTAAAAATTCACAAGATGTATGTCAATTACCTTGATCCAGCTCCAGATTCATCTCCCTCCACACCTACAAACAATATCCACAAATCATATTAATGAAACAAGACAATACTACATTATTGAGTTCTTCAGTGACTGAAAACAAATTACAAACTTGACTAGACATTCATGTTTGTCGAGTTACAAATGCAGGGTGATCAGGCAGACAACTGTTTCATTAGACACTGCCGAGTTAAGATGTGAACAATATTTTTTATGTCAAAACAAAAAATGGATCACAAAATCAGCCTTTTTTCAGTAGAACCAGTTGTTTTAGTTTGAGGAAAAAAACCTTGCAAAGTCATTTAATATATTAAAATATCCTACATTGTCTTTCTGTCTGATGTCTGTCACGGAAGTGGCGGTCACACAACCGGAAGACAAGTGTGAGGGCACACATGATGTCTGATGTAAAATTCATCAGGAGTATGCTAGGTGCATAATGTCTGATATAAGATGCATCCAGTACATGTATGTCCAGTGCTGAAATGGTATATATATGACCCCCCATTAGACCATCTTTGAAATCACAGTTTGGGACGTGAAAAAACATTTATTCCTTTTGCTTTGCCTTTTTGGCAAATATCTTTCTTTCAGACTTTCAATACTTAAATATCACAGCATTATCTCTACCAAAACACTCCAAAATGTATCGCCATTACTCAAAACATAACGTTCATGATAAGAAAACAGGTCCCCCAAGTGTACGTCGATCGTACGATATGGATAATGCATTTCGAAACATGACTGTGTTACGTCAATTGAGGGCGCACTGTCAGCAGCGTTATAAGACAATGAATCATGGAGGTAGTTTCATTGATAAATCTGTCAAGTTTTCTCTCAAAATAGTTGATTTTCCCACTTCCTATTTTCAATAGCAGGTGCTCATTGCAAAGGTAGGCTCTCTGTAGCTGATGTGTTTCACGTGATAATGAATAATTCCGAAATTTTGTGGGATTTATCAGACAAAGACAATAAAAAAATGTCTGTCTGGTCAGACATGTCAAATGAGAGTATCAAGTCACCCCGGTCCCCTGGCAGATTTGCCCTAGATTTTCGGTATTTACTTAGTACATCTTTATTTCTTTTTTACACCGACAATTTTTTAACCTGCAAACAATACAAACTTTATGACTGCACCCAGCTAGCAGGTGCCGTGCGAAGGGCGGCATCCCGGTAGTTTGGTGAAAATTTAGACGACTGGTTTTTAAAAGTAAGAAAAGCGAACACTTTAAATCAACCATCATGGAAAACAAAGGCGGGGGAAAAAAATTAAAAAGGTTCTGCCAGCAAACAGAAAATTATTCCAAAGTCTTTTCTTTCCCAGAATGGGGAATTCGTTGATGATCTCAAGGACATTGCTGATACATTTAATGAACACTGTCAACAATCGGAACATGTATGGCCAGTAATGCACCTCCATGTGAGCTCTTGAAGAGGACAACAATATCAACTCTTGTGTTACACATTCACTTGATGAAAAATGCTTACTGCCTGATATTGCAGAAGACTTTGTTCAAAAGCAAATATCATCAATGTCGGTCGGAAAAGCAACAGGTCTGGATGGAATAAGTGTGAAAATGATTAGAATAGCGTTTCCGTACATAGACCAAATCCTTGACATACAATGTACATCTTTAGCCTCTCGATGTGAACAATATACATGTATACCCTAGAGAGTGGTAACACGCCTTGGTTACACCTATTCACGAGTGTGGGGACAAATGTAATACGACTAAACTATCAGCCTATCAATACTGCCTTTTATCTCAAGATTCTAGGAAGATAGAAACACTCTGCAGTCTATTCATACCTTGATGATTTATCTGATTCCTTGTTGTCAGTCAGTGTTTAGGCCCTTACACTGAACAAACTACCTTGCATGATTTAACGAACAAATGTTTTCAGGCTATGGAGCGTGGGGAAATGACAGGCACTGTGTTCATAGATTTAAGTAAGGCATTTGACTCTGTTAATCACACAAATCTCCTAGACAAATTGAAAGGGTTAATATGTCAACCTCTGTTATCAACTGGTTAGTGTCATATCTAAGTGAACGTAGTCGATCTGTGAATATTTAGGGCAACATATCTAAAGCCATACCACCTAACAACGGCCACAGGGATCAATTTTAGGTTCACTGTTATTTATTATTTATACAAGTGACCTACCGCTTTGTATCCCTAAGAATGTAATTTGTACATTTATGCTGACGACTCAACATTAACGTGTAGTTCTACATGTGTTGATGAGATAGAGATCAACTTGAATACAGCCCTAGCTAGAATTTACGATTGGTGTGTCAGAAACAAACTTACAATAAATGCCAACAAAAACAAATCTTATTGGAACTAAAATAAAAGTCTGCAGTGCTGACCTTAATGTCAGTATTGCTGGTAGTCCAGTTGTAAAGGTGAACTCTTGTAAACAAATGTTTGGGTTTTATTGATGAACCTGTAAGTTGGGGCCCACACGTTGAATATGTGAAGACAACCGTTGCCTCTAAACTGGGTATGCAAAATAGAGTCCACGACTATGTTCCCCAAAGCAGCCTGTACTCTCTTTTTGTTATCTTAGTTTATGCCATCTTTAGATTATTGTAGTACTGTATGGGGAGGACAGTACATATCTCATGACAATGTTATTGATAAATGTCTGAAAAGAGCCGCGCGGACAATCCTGAAGCGTGCTTTCTCAACTCCTTCAGCCGATATGTTTGCTAGTCTTAATTGAATGTCATTTTCTGAAAGGATTGAGTATGAAAAGGCTATTCTTGTTTACAAATGTATTAACAAAATTACTCCTTTGTATATATGACAAATATGTTCACACCACTTAATCAGATTCGTGAAATATGACAATCCACTAATAAGGCCCCAAGGAATCCTTGTGCAAAACAAGAGTATGTTATGTCTTAAGCTTTGCTGTAACTGGTACAATCATATGGAATAATTTGCATGTACAGTTGAGAACCAAGACTTCTCTAACCTCATTCAAATCTGAACTACGTAAAACATTCAGCCAGTAATATTTTTGCAAATAATTATGTGAGTATTTTTTCGCTGTCTTCACTGATTATGATACAAATCTAAATGTCTGCCGATTTACGGAGTTAACCAACTTGGTTGCCATAATAATGTACCGTTTAGAAGAAAAGTCACAGAGAATATTTGCCGAGGGGAATAATACAGAAAATGAACAATTTCAAAATGGTGATCACGCAACTATGAAATGTGCTTCAAATTTGCCCTTTTTGCTGATCTGTTTACCTGTTCGTGATATTATTTTTTTTTACACATCAACTTTATGAACCAAGATAGTGACGGATACCAAATCCTCTCCAGAACTGCGTATCAAGTAAAAGTATGTACATGTATCAAGTAAACTGATCATTAATAGCCTGATTGCCTATACATGTATTAAGACTTGAGAATTCTCTTGTTTCCACAGAATTCTACTTGGCAATAACAAAGCTTTATTTCACTCAAATATAACCACAATATAGCATCATCCAAGTGTTTTATCTGTCTATAACTTGCGAAGCATGGAACCATCCACATACATACCGGTGCCATCAACGTACTGATATGCTGCAGATGTCTTGATGGGAATGGATGGGGGATGCTCATCCATCCCAGAATCATCATATTCATCATCAGTGAAGGAAGCCCAGGAGGTGCTACTGCTTAACACAGACTCACGGTTCTGCCCCAAAGAGCTCTGTTCAGACACTGTTGAAACAATAAATAGTCTCAACACTATACAAATAAATGATACATTGATTTCAAATCAGCAGCATATTCACAGCAAAATATATGGTGCCTCTTGCTTCCATGCTTAATGGCATTAAGATGGTACTCACTACTCAGGATCACTGGTAGTGGTACTAACAAACTCTAAAACTTTAAGAGACAAGATGCAAGATCAACTATTTACATGAACATCTCTTCCATTGCAATAAAAAAAAGGTTAAGTGAAAATAAAGGAAACAGCTGAAAAAAGTTGGCTTACCATGTCGACTTGAAAGAATGTTTGGCTCATTGTACTCCCCTGGGGCTTTATCAAATACAGGCATTTCATCTTGACCTGTCCCTTCTGATGACCTACGACCTGGTGGACCACCAACTTGGATGACCTCATAAGCCATGGATTGTGCGCTGCCCTTCCTGTCTGTGATATCCTTACTGTTACTTGCTGTAACAGGAATAATCACTTCTGAAGCATAGGAATAATCATCCAGTATTCTGGATGATTTTTTGGGCTCTATGGGATTTCCACCATCTGCAGGATCGCTGTAGGCTAATGAATATGAAAGAGCTTGTCCAGTTCTGAGTTGTGGTCTAGATTGGGCATCTTTTAATTTTTCAATAACACTCACAGGTTGGACTGCATATGTGTATTCTGACTTGTCACTATCGGGAACAGGTTGTGGAGGTCTAGATAAGTCAACTGTTTTTCTGCGCTGAATTTGGCTTGAGGAAGATTCTGTTTTGGTGGGTGACTTTGCATCTACCTTATCTTTATGAGATTGGAGTTTAACTGATGCTACTGGCTGGATCTGATACTGAAACGCTTTGGCAACTTCTTGCTTCTCATTAGAAGTTACATCTTTTCCCAAAGGTGAAGTAATACCCACTACTTCATAAGATTGGTGTTTACTTGCATCAGATTTGCTCACTGGCTTCATGCCGGCTGGTGGTTTGGGAGGGGCAGAGGAAGGTCTACCTTTAGAGTCTCTCCTTTCCTTGCCTTTTTTGACTTCCCCTTCCTTATTATCATCTCCGTCTGGTTTGTTTCCCAGTGTAGCCTTGACTACATTCTTGGCCCGTTGGAACTGTGCTGTTCCCAAGTGCTGCACCTTCTCATGATCTTGGACTGGTTCACTCGTTGGCCTTCTTTTCAGTCCAGAGAATGGGCTTGTTCCATGAGGGCTGCCTCCACTGCCTGTGTCTTTCTTCCTCACAACAGCTGGTTTCATGGCCAGAAGTGGGCGTGATGATTGCAAACCTTTGACTGGTTTCTCTCCAATGGCAGGCTTATCACTCAGTGGAGGTTTGGAAGGAGAAATTGGCTTGTCAGAGTCAAGATCCAATGACCTTGAAGATGATATTGGAAGCACAGGTCTTGCACGGGGAGTTGGTTTTACCTGCTCCGTTGATTTTGGAGGTGTAGATCTGACTTTTGAAGGAGGTTCCTCAAATTCCTTGAAGGCAGCTAATGTGTTCTTGTAACCACTCTCAAATCTCTCTTGGGCCAAGGGGCTTTGTTTTGGAGTGAGGGCAGGACTCAATGAAGCATCTTCCTCCATTTTTCCTTCTGTCTCTGCCTTCTCTAGGGAATTAGCAGACACTGTTTGGCTGCTATCTGTATCAAGTTGTTGCTTGGTAGGTAATGATGGGGGCTTCAGGATCTTCATCCCAGTAGCTGTTGGAGATGGACTTTGTTCAGATACTAGTAAGGAAGCAACAAGCCATATAAGGGATGTTAGTAAGGCAGTTTAAGTCTATTTACTCAAAATTCAAATCCTTTCTGAGAACATAACATAAGTAATTTCAAACTGTTGATTTAAACTTCTTACTCGCTGACTCTAACTTAAAATTAAAAGAAATTGAACTTGTTGAATTGAATTTTAAAGTAATTTACTTTAATTTTACAATTAATATTAAATTATAAATGCATTAATTCGGAAATATGATGGACATTTTTTTTGCGTTTATACACTAGTAATTCACTGCCAAAGACTTGATTGTTGAGTATACAAATATTGAGTGGCTCAGCGTGGAATAGGAGGAATATTATCGTAAGGTGAAATCTGGACTTATCCTTTCACAAGGCGAAGCTGAATGAACTGGAAAAGTCCAGATTTTACCGAGCGATAATATTACTCCCATTTCACAATTTTAAGCCACTCAATATTTGCTTAAACTGACATAAAGATCCTTGTCATTTGAACTTTTATTTCAATACAAAATTGGTGGAAAATGTATTTCTCTCTTCCAAACCGCCCCTTCACAAAAATGTTTGAACCCAACGCTGTAGCACTGGCTCTTTGGAACAATACGCGCTACGCGGAACGCTGAACGCGCACACCAGCATGCATTTGTGCACAAATACCGCGTCATGGAAAAAGAATGATCCTAACTGTTCAATAGTATTTCCCATTTTTGAGCCCCGGCGTTATATAATACTTGTTAACCTCTTGCCATAGGATTTTCATGCCTCACAGCACAGGCTTACACGCATCACTGTACAGTAGCCTCCGCGCAGTAGTGGCAGGGGCGGCACTGCACAGTAGCAGCTGCCTACAGACGGCATACCTCAGCATTATCACGGCATACTGGAGCGCGGCTATAGCCGTCAGCATGAGTGAGGAGGGGTTACAACTCTTTGACAGCATCCTATAAAAACAGCTAAAACATTTTCTGGGGCATATTGACAGAGCATTACCCTTTCCTTGAATGACATGATTGACATAGTTGTGGCCATGGTCCTGTTCTTTATCTTTTTGCCGGCGTTGCTTAGGACTTAACTGAATGAAAACAGACAACAAACAAACCATTAAGTTGCAATGTAGAGCTACATTTAAACATTGAACACAATTGTGTTGTGGATATCAACTTACGTCTGATGCAAGTCAAGTCTGAGCTGAAGTTTAAACTGAGAACTAAACGCGGACTGATATTTTGTTTGAGTCTCACTGGAAAGTTGATAGCTTTTATAATATTAACAAATGATCAATTAGATTCTTTGGTAACTTGGAGATTGGTCAAGTAGATTTTGTTCCTTAGGAGTCATCTCATTAGTTAGTCTGGATAAGTTGCTGAAAACTTGACCTGCAATAGGCCCACTGTATTGAGTATCAGGAATAGTCCTATGAACAAGTTATCAACACTGTTTACAAACTGATTACTTCATTGTGGGAGGATTCCAGACAACTATCCGATTGGAGATAAACGTCTTTGCAACTTATCATGGATATTTATTGAAATGACTCATTTCGATACCCTTCATGACATTATAAGAACTAGTAAAAGGAAAATGTTTCAACGGAAACTGTTATGCACATCATTTGAGCATGGCATTTGTACGGTGTACTAAATTATGTTTAACCCATGTGGTATTTGATTGAAATGAATATGCATTGTAGTTACTGAGTTATCTCACCTTAATTTGCTGTGTTGATCTGATATCTGGGCTGAGATTACCTGCACCAGGTGGCATTCTAGGTCCCTGGGAATAGTGCACGGATAATACCTGTGGTTAGATCTTAAGGTACACATTTGTCTTGAGATTGCTAAAATTCAGTGTATTTTATTGTTTACTAATCATATTCCAAAGGGCTGGGTCACAAGAACTCAACACAGTTAGTGTCTTCCATGTACTAAGAGAACGTTGGCAAATCCCACCACCAAACTACAAGCAAATAATGCCAACAAATTATATTCCACAGCTGACAATTTCAGACAAGTGCTGCATGTAATGATACCAAGCAGGCGACAATGCTATGTGTGAAATCAGACACTTATAAGCTGCCATGTTAATGAGACATGTGCGTCTCAAGCACAGGTTTTGAAAAAAAATGTGGCATATGAATCAAGACCAGTACCCTTAACTCCTCTGAATGATGATTACACAAAAAATGTAAATTCTCAGGATATAGTTGAGTGCATGTTTATATTCTACTTGTTACTTGTTAGTGATATTTTTTCAAATTGGACTTCAGTCTCATGCATGCGTGTTGAAGTTAACAACAAAATGAGTCATACAAGACCAATACAATTTATATACAAACATGTGATGTATACAATTGGTTCCAAAAGGGAATTTTAAGCAAGATTACATGTATGTCAAGCCAAGAATACAAGACAGTGGGCTACAATCTGCTATCTTGTTTGCAACATCTTCTTACCTCACCAATCAGTGATTCCAATATTAACACACACACCATGTTTTGGATACTGAATGAGGAAGAGGATGTTGGTGCTGAAATGAAATTCATGATAATTGAATAAACAGATCCACCACTTTCTTAAGTAAGGGTACATGTACGTGTACATGAAGCTTATCTTTTGGTTTGGGATATTTTTTCTTTTGTTTTTTTGTGTGCTTGATTTACACATTTGCTTAACCAGAATGTGTTTAAAAACAGTGACAAGTAACAAACCTCATTCTGTAATTTCACATTTTCATAGAGATGACCATAGTCATGAGGGTTGGGTGCCAAACCCAATGCCTTTCTGAACAGCCAGGCCACTGCTCTGTGCACTAATTCATACTGATCCTGTTAGAAGATACAAGCAAAAATCAAAGAAAAAAGGAATTGATTTTTTTTTGATAAGGGGGAATACTACACAGAGATCCTTCACACTGAGGTTTAACCACATTTTGTCATGATATTAAGTTCCACTTCCTGGTTTGGTACCCAAATAAGTTAAATACTCTCAAAAAGTGTGTTATACAATTATGGAATTCCCAATCATTCAAGGAGCACTCCATTTACAAGTGACAAAGGACACTCCAAAAAGTTCATCCATAAAACTTCAACCATAGATTCTGAACAGTTTAAGAGATATATCTCAATAGAAATGAAATTCTATTAAATTTAAAATTAAAAAAAACCCTGAATTTGAAAATACTTTACGCCGATACAATGTTTGATCAAGTAAACTGCTGTGTTACATGTACATGTACATACATTTGAAATCTTACCCTGGTCTGAACAATGGCAGGTCTTTGCCTCCTCATTTCCATGATGATGTCATACAGACAGAAGTCCGGTCCAATTTTCTGAATTAAATTTAAAAAGAAAGATTATTATTAGGTTTTTGTGTTCAGAACACATTGATATACCTAAAAGTATATTCGTATGACAATCCTTAGTATTGTTGCTTTGTCTTCATTTGCAAATGAGTCTTGTTAATGGCTAAAGTCCTGTCAAGAAAAAAATATACAAGTGTATGGGATAGAAAACAAGAAGCAGAATAAAAAGAATTTTTAAAAACTAGAGGTCTGCGTATCTGTCTTAAAGGTTCAAACCTCGCTCCAGACTTGAAGAATAAAATGAAATTTAAATGTGAATTTAATGTACTGGTATAAGAAAAGATAGCTTGCTGAAATGAATTATCAATCGTTACCGGACTTGAGGTACCGGAAAGTCATTAACAAACAGTGGAAGCACGTCTCACGAAAAAGTACCGAGCGGTACCGGCGGCCGGCCGTGCGCGAGTACCTGGAGTGAAAGCTGTCTTCGTCAGTGACCGTACCATTAGTGCAGCTAGCTGCTGCATGCATGCCCCATATGCACTCACTTGTGTACCACACCATTTGTGGTAATAAAGGGGTGTACTTTCTTGGGAACAATAATTATCAATATTTCCGCTGTGTCAAAAAAAAAGACAACTTATAATTTTTATGAAGTCCGAAACGTTTCTTTATTGGACAATCAGTCGTTCAACGTCACAATATAATTTTTTCTGAAAATGTATTCAAGAAACGCTGTAAAATGCAAAACAGGGGCTAAATCACCCCTTATGAAATTAATGGATTCGTCCATAATAATGCATGCATCGTGTTGACTGTTTTCGAAGAAAGTACGATCAAAAACTTGATTTAGTACTCGTTGGTAATCACAACAGTTTGATAAGTTTTGTTGTAAAGAAAAGACCTTTTTATTCTTAGGACAAAACAAATTAGCATCTGTTGACACAAAGCAAGATTTGCATTGCTCCAGTCAGACGACACATGGTGGGTTGCATACTCTCTCAAGTACTGCGGGAAAATGTTGTCATTCACCGGCACAGGCTGCCGGGCCATGCACTAACTTTTAGGCCGGGGACCGGAAGGGCCAGCCAGCAGCAATTCAACTTCCATATTTGTTGTAACGAGTATCGACCGTAAATGTTTTGATAAAACTTTTGTGGAAAATTTTATAGCTTTCGTAGTGTGAATGGGACTGGTCCAAGGCTTTTTGACTTTAGAATTTTGAGGCCTTTTCAAAATTGAAACCGCTGCGGTCAGTGCGGCTTATACGCCGGTGTGGCTAATACGCCGACGTAAATTTAAATTTGCAGATTTTTGCATGCTGCGGCCTATATTCTGAAAATTACGGAAGGTAATAGAGCATTGACAGTGAGGTCAGCAAAGAAACGTCACAAAGATTGGTGTCTTGCAGAGGGGACGATGGTGAGGGTGAGCGTCAGCCCCCAACCACAGAGGACAGGAAGGGGGAGGATCACACTGGTCCCTAGACAGAGAATCCTGAAAAAAACTTGGTGTGAATACTCAGACAACTGGAGATTCTAGAGTTTAGGTCTCTGTGTGAGGTATGGTGGCCGTGTCAGAGCCAGGAGGTACCGGCATAGGTTGGTTGGTTGGGAGACATTCCTAGGTTAGAACGTGAGCTCGAGTGAAAGAAGGCTGATAGGAGGTCAGGGAGCTAATAGCCTGAAGTAAAGCCGGTCACTGCAAGCAGACTAAGAACAGTGAACCCATCCCGGGAACAGTCCAGGGAAAATTTGAAATTCGTCCTCTTTCTGATTTCAAGCTAGACTGCAAAAGTGACAGCCCAGAGGCTGCCATGAAATCAAATACCAAGGAACTAGTCAGAGTCTCTGCAGGTTGAGGAGTAAAGCAATGGGGTAAACTGTCCTGATCTGCAGGCTGTGTGGAGCAGTGCGAGGGCAGTGGCTGGGAATAGTCAGTCTGCATGAGTCCATGTAATCACCCAAGCACAAATTATCTCACATTTGAAAGTAGGGTAACTGTTGAAGTACCAACAGATAATGATTTTGAAAAATTCTTTGATAAGAAAACAAATATTTAATGTTAACTTACTTCTGCTTTCAGAAGAGCACGCACATAATCAATGCAGATCATTGTACCTGTGCGTCCACAACCAGCACTGAAGGAAAAAAATATATACATGTACATTAACATTAAACTTCATTTGAACCCATGAAGCAGCCAAACAATAACTTTGCCAAGGTCCCTTTATTCTGGTCAAGTTACATTTTTGTTTTTGAGTGGTTGGGCACAACCCGACCACTCTTTGGAGTTGTTACGATTAATCTGTTTCTCTTTCTTTCTTTTTTTCCGGACAATACTTCTTTACGGGTTTTCTCCTAAATGGTTTATGATATGAACTTGTAACTTTCAATATATATCAACCCTCATCCCAAGCAATTTAAGGGCCAAATTTTTGAAACTAGTTTCGGCTATATATCTTTAGAACTAAATAGAGTATCGTGTTCGTTTTTGCTTGAGGTTGTAAATGATGCCTCGGGCAACATTTCTCATTCCCAGACAAAAAACTGCTTGACCTTCACTTCAGATGTTACCGGAAGTGAAATAAAAATTGAATAGAACTCGAAAGCGAAAGCTCTTTACTATAAGCAAATAATATGGAAGTGTTTGGAATGGAATAAAGGACACCAAAACAGCATTATGACTTCATCATTTGAAAGAGCGCCCTCTAGCTGTACATCATATAGGGTTTCCTTTTCTTAATTTAAAAACCATCCGTCCAAATTTAACCAAATCACCCCTCGTTATTTTTTTATCAACTACATGTACATAATTCTAACTTTGCAAGGTTTCAAAATTATGACGTCATCAGACCAGCAGTTTCTGTAGAAAGAATTTAAAAATGATCATTTTTTAAAATTCTATCATTTGATCCCTGTCTTATGACTTTGTTCGTAGCCCAAATAATGACATTCGTTACAATATGGACCTTTCGATCTTTAATGCTGTGACGTCATCAAAACGGAAGTTAGGTGTTATTAATACATACACTTAAATTTTCCATATTTCATACGTTATTTTAACTTCATAATGAACATAGTATGTGTCCTTTTGTACTAAATTAGTATTCACTTTCCCATTTTGGACTGATAAAGTCATCAAACCAGAAATAACTTGTATGTGAATATAAAATGTGTACTGAAATTTGATACTTTTTGTTTTAAACAAAATCATTGATTTTACTGGAAAGGTTAAATTTTTGTGATCCTTAATTCTGACATAAACTTATTCAAAAATTAACTGGGCTGTATCTAATGAAATACATGTAGCTGTCGGCCCAACCACTCTGCGTTTGTATCTCAACAAACGCCTTAACCTCTAGTTTGCTTTGTTTCTTACATGGAAACTCTTCCGACTTTTTTTCTTTACCATTTCAGCGTGTTCAAGAACCATTTGCAGTTTGAAACATTGCATCAATAAAACAAATCCAACACACCTGCAATCTCTTTACATGTTAGGCCAAACAAACAAAAATTTGGTCTCTGGTCAGCGTGCGCATCGATTTTGATCATGCACGTCAATTTAATTTTTTTTTTCAAATTTTCCTAGGTAGCGACAACAGCGCCCTCTATTGCCGCACTGTTTCAGATTTTCATTAGCAGCTCGACATCGTACCCACAGTGATAGATCCGGTACGAGGTTGATGTTGAACGAATGATAGTAGACCATGGGTACGAGGTAGCTGCCAGCTGATCAACAACAATGGCGGCTAGTCAAATACTACACACATTTCGAAATGATGACATGTGATGTGTGTAAAATGGGTGAAAAATCTTTAAAAGTACGTCAAAATCTAGCCTTGGTCAAGTCGCTAGTTGTTTTTTATCCGGCCGTAGTGTGGTATAATGCATGCAGTCATAATGTCTATGCGCTATGCATGCAGTACAGTGCATTAAAAATACAGCGCGAACAGCGACCTCACGCGGCCACTATTTTTATGCAAATCAGTTGGACCCAATATAGCGCCTTGGTTCAATCGTCCATGTGAGGTTTTGGAGGTGGTGCTCATTATGTTAATAGCCTTAGCTGACCTTAAATGTCGTTCTCTTATTGGTCGATCGTGCGGGGAAACTTGCTTAGTAAAATGTGGCACCGTACATAATCCATACATGTACACGTACACGTTATGTGTCTCTCTGCACACGGCACCAATGCGCACAAACTGTGGTTCCTGTCACGTCCGCAAAAGGCGAATAGCTAGCTGTAAACAATTTGATGACGTCCGGATTTACCAAGGTGTGATTGGACACTCCACATATTAGCCCCGCCTACACTTATCTGTATTCGCATACGAGGTCGTGCGCTAGAAATCCAGCGCAAAATAAAGAAAAACATAAGCGTTTGCCGACGATTGAACCAAGGCGCGATATTGGGTCCAACTAATTTGCATAGAAATGGTGGCCGCATGAGGTCGCTGTTCGCACTGTATTTTTAATGCACTGCATAATGCATGGCCCTAGCGAGGATATGGTTTACGCGCCACGGCCGGGATGAATAACATTTAGCGCCTTGACCAAGGCTAGTCAAAATCGTACATGTTAGGAGCTCTGGGAAGGACACAAAGGCAAATGATGGAGGGCACCAAGGCAAATGAGGACACAAAAAAGCCAATATTACCCACCAATCCAAGCTTGAAAAAAAAAACATAATCAACAAGAAAAAAAATACAGTCGTGCGACTTCCAAATAGTTTGTGCTGGAGGGCAACTAACACAAATAACAGATGAAGACTTCGACTAAACGAAGATTATATTAACACATCTCAAAACAATTTTGAATATCTTTAACAACCAACTTTTCTCACAATGTTGATCAAGAGCACTGACAAAAATATATCAGGCTTGGACTGGATTCAATGTTAAAACCTTATCTTAGACATCATCTCTTCCAGTGATTGAGTTGTGACTGCTCTAGCATGCTTCTTTGTAATATACTCACCTACAGTGCATGACAACAGGGTTGTCTTCATTTGGCAAATACTCTCGGAATAGCTGGATCATGTCCATGATAGGCTGGACTGTCTTAGGCACACCATGGTCAGGCCAGGCTGTATAATGAAACTGATTCAGCACCCTCTCTTGCTGTTCACATATAAAAACAAAAAACAACACAAACTAGTGCTTTGCCAATTTACAAAAAAAAAACAGAACAAAAGGCTTCAGACCCTTCAATTATTGCCTTCAACTCATGATTCTAATAATTTGTTACAACTTGGGAGACTTTGAATCAATGTTCAGGCTTTTTAAATTCAAAGATGCACAAGGAACGACACCATGATGACTTCGCATTTTCGTTCATGACTTTGCACAGCTTTTGACTTAGATATTCAAACAGATCTCGGAATTCAGGCTCAGCATTTCTCTACATACCACGCTAGTATTTTCAAATTCAACTATTTTACCACACCTCCATTTATAGAAGATCCATTATTTTTTAAAGTTTGAAATTTTGAAGTAGTGCCTGCACTGCTATTTAGAGAAAAAAATGGACAAACTTAAATAATTCACACAAAACTCTAGAAGGGTGAAGCTGGCCACCATGGCTCGCTGTTGAAGGCAGGAAGGGAGGCCGAGGGAATGGTACAGTAGGGTTGGGGATGGGCATGATGGAAGGGATTCAGGATGATGTGCCAAGGTGTAGGGGTCAGCTTTTAAATGCCAGCAAAAAAGTCAATAAATGTCCTTACAAATACATTTGTACATGGGCTAGCAGTCACCGCGTTGTGGGGAAGTTTTTCATTGTTAGGGTAAATTAAGACCTAGCTGGGGACTTTTTGCAGACCCCACAGCGTCTTTGGTCCCCATATTACCATGGGAGAACTTGTGTGTAGTCCCCACAAATGAGGTACCAGTACAAGAATGGTTATTAGACACACCACCATCACCACACCCCCCAAATCTTACCCCATCCCCAACCCCACCCCTTCCTCCCCCTACCCATGCATCCCCACCCCACCACCTACACATCCCCACCCCACCCCAACTCCAACCCCTACACCCACCTACCCCACACCCACCTACCCTACCCCCTACCCATCCCCACCCACCCCTACACCCCACCCAAGCCCCTACTCCACCCACTATCCCCCACTCCACCCCCACCCTCCCCCACACATCGATCCCTACCCCACCCTTACTCCCATCCCTACTCCAACCCCATAAAACTAAAAGATCAAACCAGAAGCACATGCCCATACACATGAATGCTCCCCCAAAATTACACACATACATGTACAATGTACCGGTAGTACATTGGAAATTAATGCATACATGTACATGTACATGTACATTTTATACCCGTATATGTACATGTACATGTATCGGTACATGTTATACCGGTACATGTATATGTACATGTACATGTACATTTTATACTGGTACATGTATATGTACAGTGTACATGTACATGTACATTTTACACCGGTACATGTATATGTACATGTACATGTACATTTTATACCAGTACATGTATATGTACATGTACATTATATACCGGTATAAAAACTTTAACATTTTCTTGAATTAAAATTCCTCAATAAAATCATAACATTTACTGCAATGAAATGAACCTACAGTACATGTAATTAGAAGTTATACAGATGATACATGTAAACTACATTTCTTTTTTTTAAACCAAATTAGCTAGAACCAAAACCTTCAACATTGTAATCTGAATGCAGATGGCCGGACCGCGCCGCCGGACGGACATTGCGACGGACAGGCTCACATCTGCTTAGCAGCTCGCCAAAAATCACACATTGATGTCTTCATGGTTAATAAGTATTTTATCATGTCCAGAACAAAATGTCTTTCAATGTTCGTAAAATTAAATTTTGTTTTGAGCATTTTGCTCAGGGTAGTCTGTTTGACATAAGTATGAAGTATTTCCATTCCATTTTGTGTTATGAAACCAGGAAATGAATTGAAAATAATTTCAATACCAGTTAGCTTCAATGACATGAATTTGTTAGATAAAGGCAACGTACACAGAGAAATCAAACTGAAGGGTGCTCCATGTATTACACATTCAGCATCTTGTTGACAAAATGCACATAACTTTGGCACTCAGTCATCCTGTTAAGCCTCTCATGAATTATTAATGTTAACCCAAGTTACAATGAACTCTTGCACTACAATTTACACAGTAATTCGAAATTGTTTTGAAAATCATGATTTTCTTTGCATTGTTTGAGCACACTGCAAATCAATAAATGCCAATTTATATTGTCTTTAATAAATTACTATAAAACAAAAATAGAAGTTTTCCTGGGATAAAAAGTAACAAGACAAGGTGGAATGGGACATGAAATACCCGCATGTACGTGTTTACTACTACCATTTGGGGGGGGGGGACGAAGTGAACAGTGGGCTATGAATAATGTTAAATTTTGTTGAAAATGTCATTTTTATGGACTCAAAGGTAAGATCAAACCTGTTAGAAATGTAACACGATGAGAAAAATACGTAGAAAAGGGATTTGTGTCATTATGTTTTTATAGACCAGACACGTGTCCGTTCTAGGCCAGTGAAATTGCAGTAGCCAAGGTGGTGCTATTCATCAGCATTCTGGAATCACAATTGGAATAGGTGCATAGTTTTTGCACAGAGGAGGGGTTCTAATTCAGATAATTCAGCCTCTCGACCATCTTACCCCTCCCCCTAAAAAAAGTTGCTCCATGGTACTTTCATTTTCAAAGCAAGTTCTACTTCATTCCAATGTCTTTAAGTGCCTACCTCTTGATTGCTGACTTTCAGTGTGCGAATCATAAAATCCTGAGTTACTCTCAACTGGCTAATCTGCAAAAGCATAGCAAACATGGAGAAAAATAACAGCTAGAATGTTGAAACCCCATGCTTCCTTAGTGTAGTGGCCTCATTTTTGTCCAACCATGAACTTGATCAATATGGAGGGCAACCTGTCAACCAAATTTTTAGGAAAAATATTTAAATTCATTGTAGTCAGGAAAAACAGTTGCATATACATGTACATGTAGTTATAAATGCAATTTTAAGTGCTCATGTGCATTTAGCTTCATTATGGAAAGTGAAAGGGACAAGCAGTGTATTGGTAATATTTTTGGTTGATGTTTCGGACAAATTCTGTTGTTGTTTTCATTGCTTGTAAGATAAAACCTCCAGAATCAATAGCAAGACCCGTAAATGTACATAGCCAAAATTGGTAAAAAGAGGTCATAGAAATGTTTCACTTCTTTTTTATTTGACTGCCTTTCGTATTTACTGAAAAACAAATACAAAACGAAAATTTGCAATTGTTCACGACGTTTGGCTGTGAAGAGTTAATAACTGGCTGCAGTGAGATCTGGGCAACCAGTCAACATGGCAATAACTTGGTTCAGGGCAATGCCAGCATGATGTCATGTCCATGACAGAGCTTTTATTGAACTCAGCGAATAAACCATACATCCATCATCTAGTAATGGTCAAGGAAAATACAGACCAGGACATTTTGGATCATATCTCTGAATCGTTAATTACATATCTCAAGATTTTGTTGCGTTTCTTGTGGCCCCTCTTGTTTTTGAAATAAGAAACAAACAATTTCCATCCTTTGTTACTCTTAATCGTGAATAGCTTGGCATGACAGCCTGTACACTGTATGTTAAAGCCAACATGTTTAAAACATTTTTTAAACGACATCACAAGGTAACTTGCACTTTGAGTGATTTCTGGAAAGTTCTTCAATGTTGGTTAACTTTTGACAGGTACAAAGAGAGTGTGTACTGTTAGCATGAACAGTTTCTTGCAAAATGTTCTGAGAAAGTGTTGAGTACACTTCCCTTAAATCTATAAACCTAGACAATTCTGTAAAATTTTGGTATTTCTAGACTCCAGAGAGCAGGTACATGTAAGTTGCGCAAATAAATGTAAGTACTGTAGTTATGCAATCTAGTGAGAACCAACTGCACCATTACATTTTGAAACAAAACTCTTGTACTTACCAAGCTCACTGTAACATTTCCAAATTCTTTTGATTCATTTTCATCAGCCCAGTACTTCTCACATTTGTGCTGGTGAAGAAAAATATAATTTAAGGTTAACAATCCCTGACATATTAAGTAAGAAACAGACTAAAAACTAAAAATCCTTTCTTTAGAGAGCACTTGCTTGTGTTCTTTTATTTCATTAAAATTTATTTGGTGACAGGCAAAAAAATATCCTGTGGGTTAAACACAATCTTGCAATATTCACAAATACACTCAACCAAAAAACAAAGCCCCCTTAATTAATACCTTTTGTCTAACTCAAAACTACTGAGCACATCTTGCTCAAATAACGACTGATCAGTACAGAAACTCCTTAGCAATCCAGCCATATTCTGTTTGGCCCAAAACAGTGATAATGTGTACAAAATTATGCAATTTATGACAAATGGTACCGAAAACGTTGCACTTTTGTATATGTGCAAGGTGAGGGTGAACCACAACTCGCACATATACAAAAGTGCAACTGTTTTTGGTGTCATTTGTCATAAATTGCTAAAATTTGTAAACATCACTGTTTGGGCCAAATAAAGAGTATGGCTGGATTGCTAAGGAATTTCTGTACTGATTAGTCGTTATTTGAGCGAGAGGTGCTCAGTAGTTTTGAGTTAGACAAAAAGTATTGGAAGGGGGGGGGGACTTTCTTTTTTGGTTGAGTGTAGTACCTTTCCACTTTCAAATTCGTTACAGGCCATGATAACCACCTCCACCCCTGTATTCCACAAAAGACGCCAAAAGTCAACGACCGTGTGCGGTAAAGGACCTTGAGCTGCAATATACACATTCTTACCATCAATCCCCTGGAAAGGAAATTAGGGAAGGAAGAAAATATCAATTTCAATTGTATACATACATAATTGTATATACTGCAGGATTACATGTACATGTACTTGTACCGGTACATACCGTTCATCATACCGGTATCAAGTGTTTGAAACAGACAGGTGAGATGGGCGATATACTAATTAGCAGAAATGGGACTATTTTCTATGTCTCTGCTGGAAATGATCCAAATCTACAAAACAAAGTGTCTATGCCCTTGCTCTCATCATGGACATATTATTGCAGCAGGAAGTCACGATACGGACAGTGGGGAATAATACCGCAGTGTTGTTGCAAGGATCAACCAATCTCTATTGAGAATTCAAGTTTGCTTGAAAATGACAAAAAAAATACACTATTCTTATTAACTGTTCGCAAGTTGAAGGAGAGGGAGCAAAATTTGAGAAACCTCCCAGAGTTTCCATCTCCTACAATGAGAAGTTCGAGTTTTGATCGAGCACACCTTGCACATAGTTGTTCTTTGTTAAAGAAAATAGACCCATCTTTGATATTTCTTCAAATTAATCATGATAATGTTGCGTTGAATATTCCATTGACCACTGTTTATGAGGCATATATGTAATCAGGGTGATGACTGTCTGTGCAAGGGTCATTCATTTTAGCCCAGCTACAGTTACAATCTGAGGCATCATCCAGATGTGGTGTGTCCTACATGTATAATCAGCATAGTTTCTCCTATCCCTTATCAGCATAGCAACATCCACCCATCTCTGTTGATTTGCAAAATATCAACACTCAGTATCCATGGTAACATGGCTAACTGCATGTATTATTAACTTTATACTTTATAGGAAATGCTCAAAATGGTTTGGAACAAGAATATTAACCCTAACTCCTGGAGCTCTTTTACTAGAAAGTATCCTGAATCCGCCAAAATCCACCAATTTTGTCATGCAAAAAATGCTGGTATCCTAAGTCCATCAGAATCCCCCAGTGTAGATACTGGAGGTATCCTGAATCCGCCAAAGTCCACCAGCAAAAGTTTTGATGGATTCTGGCAGATTCATGATACCATGGTGGCATAAAAAAAATACAGCATGTTTTTCCATAGAGTTTTCAAAATCCATCACCTAAATTTCTGGTGGATTTTGACGGATTCAGGATACCACGCTCGCATGAAAATTGTGATGTGTGTTGTTGCATAGGATCCATAAAAATACACCAATGCATGGCGACCCCAGCATGGAGTACCAAAGTGAATACATCTTGCGCACAAAATGTGTGTGAAAGACATTAGCGCGTGTTTCAGCCCGTAAACCATAGATAGAATGAAAAGACTAGATCGGCAGCGCGTCCACACGCGCCCATTCACTGTGAGATAAATCTCCGCCATTTTGGTTGTCTCTCGTAGACGCTCAACAAATTAACGTTAAGTAATGGAGCTAAATGTATCTTTCCTCCAGCACGTGACCTAGCTCAACGCGCGCGAAGCTAGAAATGCGCACCGAGTATTTACGCGATGCGCACACATAATTATTAGCGATGCACATGGTGCTCTTTGCGCACAAACGGCGTTGCGTTCGTCACGTTTTCGTGCATTATTTGTATCTTTCCTCCAGCACGTGACCCGCCATGCAAGTCCACACGTGTGGACGCGCTGCTGATCTAGTCTTTTTATTCTATATCTGTGCCGTAAACCCACACACGCGCGTACTCCATTCGTTTGCCCTACACTTTCTGGTTTTAAATGACGTCACACTTCGGTACTCATTGTCTGGATGGGTTATTAACACAATCCATTGTTTATATGCTGACGCCTATTTATAGCCCCAGTCACAAGCGCCCATCCACCCAGTACATGTGTGCACATGTTTGTACAGTATGTGACAGACTTGGCAGGGCTAGTGCCAGCAGTATTGACCACAAACATTGCAAAAGAGTTAAACTGTTGAGATCCTGAATCCATCAAAGTCCCCCAACAGCTCAAAATAGAGGTATCCTGAATCCATCAAAATCCCCCAGTTTGTGCAATATGGAGGTATCCTGAATCCGCCGAAATCCCCCGAAACAGGGGGGTTGATTTTGATGGATTCAGGTATGTTAATGTTAAGCCATTTACCTTGATGTAGTTAGCATTGATGTAGTCTGATCCTTCAACACCTTCTGTCTCGGGTAGTACAATACGAGTGTAGTCAACTGAGGGCACAAACGGACAAGGTTTTTTTTCACACCCCCATAGATAAATACCATACATGGAATAATGTAACTAGTGCATCAGTGTCCAATATGCCATGAGGCCAAATATGTGTGGAGTGGCATAATAGACCCACCTTCATATATTCCAGATGCACACTAAACATACAAAGCAAAGACTGTGAAAATGTTTTAGCTACATTGTGTATCAAGCTACATTTGTATCATAGTCACAGAGGCCTGATAAAAAAAGGACTGAGATTTAGTGAGTCAAGTAGTGCTTCACACATGTACATGTACATGTACCTTAGCTCACGTCACAACCACCTTCCGGTAGGCTTCCATACTGATAAGGTTGTCATTCTTACAGAGATGTTAGGAAAAAATCAGTGGAGGCTGACTTTTTGTTGAAAAGTGTGGCCTGGCTCTGGTGATACGCTGTGAAGTTCACTCATTTATTTTTTTAATTTATTTATTTATTGGACTATTCAATTTCTTTAACCAAGGTATGCCCAATCAGTTTAAAAACTGGTTTCCATCGGGGCCCTACATACATTACAAATTATTACATAATATTAAGTAAAGTTAAACTCATAAGAAATTTTTAGACGATCATCAATATTTACAAACTTACAAGTATTTCAGAGATATTACAGAAATAAAGCTATATACACATGTTAAACATTCAAGTATAACTACAAGGCATGAATTACTGATCACGGGGTGGACGAAAACTCCACGAAAACCCTTTGGGGGAAAAAAACACAGGGAAATTCCCGATCCAGCTCCAAATTAATACCATGGCAACAAAGTTAATAACTCCGTAGAACAGCGCATTTTGACCTGAATATCACTAATTGATGGCTTTGCGTACAATGTAGTTCTTATTTGAATGGCTGTAAGGAATCTATACAAAACTTTCTCAATTGTTCAAGCAAATTATTCCCTACATTCGTACCACTTGCTCGAAACTTTTGGCATAGCATTCCTTTTTGGCAAAAGGGACTTTCAATGCCTTGTTAGTTGATTGTCTTGTTTCACGAATCTGTGTAATTGGTGTGAAAAGATTTCCGTCCAAAACCGAGATTTTCTTAAATCTGAGATTTTCGGCTATTCTAACATTTTATGATGTCCATAATTACCAAATTTCGAGACACAACATTCCATCGTTTGTTAATAATGTTAACTGCACAAAGTGTTGAAAGTGCTACAAACTAAGTTTTTCGTTGTGACGAAGTGACGAATCTCTTTGTGTCACTTAGTCTCATTGAGTTTACACGTGTGCTATATTTAGAAATATGAAGCCTCCACGATTTGCGTTTTGACGAAGTGACGCATCTGCGTTCTAAAAATGTATACATTTTATATACGCGCACGCACTGTGTACAAACATATGTCTCAGTTATATATTTTTCAATTCTGGGGGAGAAATGAACACAAAAATGCCACTTGAAAAATCCACCAACTTCAAACGCAATTTTCTCAAAACTCGGTTTTGCATCTTTGTGCACAGATGTGTCACTTCATCAAAACGGTGACGATTTGTCATGTACAAAGGAGTCATTTTATTTAGACTTTTGAAAACAAGAATATCCTTTTTATACTTAGCTCTTTGAATTTTATTTCCACAGATGTTTTCGAAATTTTAAAGTCAGTGAACCCAGGCAAGGCAAGCGGTCCGGACGGTATTCCTGGCAAATTGTTATGTGAGTTTGCGCAGGAGCTTGCACCTTCACTCACTGCAATTTTCAATGCTTCTCTCATGCAAGGCAAAGTTCCTTCTGACTGGAAACTTGCAAATGTCACTCCGGTTTTCAAAAAGGGGGACAACAGCTGCGCTGTGAACTAACGTCCCATATCCTTGCTTAGCCTGGTCTCCAAAGTTCTTGAACGGTGTATTCATAAGCAACTTTTACCATTTCTGCAACCACTTATATCTGACTGCCAACATGGATTTATGCCTAATCGCTCTTGTATCACACAATTAGTTGAATTTACCCACAACCTTGGTTCTAATTACGACAGGGGGTGTGATACTGATGTGGTTTACCTGGACTTCTCAAAGGCTTTTTACTCCGTCAATCATTCTAAGCTTATTGAGAAGCTCAGGTTTGCTGGCATCGGTGGCACACTTCTTGCCTGGTTCCACAACTACCTAGAGGGCAGATTGCAGAGAGTGGTCATCAATGGTGCTCATTCAGACTGATTACCAGTCACCTCTGGTATTCCGCAGGGCTCAATCATAGGACCGATGCTCTTTGTTGTTTTTATTAATGATATGCCTACTTGTGTCTCGCCAGATACACGAATTGCGCTCTTTGCTGATGATGCAAAATGTTATCGCACCATAGCCACCAATGACGACCAAATAGCTCTGCAAAATGATCTCGATGCCATTTTTAATTGGAGTAAAACTTGGGATATTGACTTCAATGCTAAAAAATGTGTTGTGCTACCTGTCAAAACCCGTAAACAACATCATGTTGCCCATTTTGATTACGAACTTGGTAACCATAGTTTACTCTCTGTCGATAATATGAATGATCTTGGTATTATGGTGACCAACAGTTTGAGTTGGAAGTTGCACATCAACAAAATGGATTGCAAAGCCAACTGCATTCTAGGTATGATCAGGCACACTTGTTTTGATGTTCACGACACTGTTACTCGTAAAATTCTTTATTTAACGCATGTTAGGCAAAAAAAAAAAAATTCGGTCTCTGGTCAGACCAAAGTTCTGGAATTGACGCGGCCACGCGGCTTTTTTTTTTTTCTTCAAGCTTGGATTGTACAGACAAGGTGGGGTACTATTTTGCCTTTTTGGTGTCCGCATGTACATTGGTGTCCTCCATAATTTGCCTTGGTGCTCTCAATCATTTGCCTTGGTGCAATTTCCCATTCCTTGGTGCTCTTTGGTAAAAAAAATTGAGGAGGTACGGCAATAGAGGGCGCTGTTGGAGCTACCGCAGAACATTTTGGGGAAAAAAAAGGATTGACGTGCATGATTAAAATCGACGCGCGCGCTGACCAGAGACCGACTTATTTTTTTTTTGGCCTTGGGCCCATTTTGGAATACGGGTCCGAAGTTTGGAATCCTCATGCTAAAGGCCTTAACAATGCGATTGAAAAAGTTCAGAGACATGCCACCAAATCTATTCTGAGAAGTTCTGCCTCGTACGAGGAGCGTCTGAAAGAGTTAGACCTCCTAAGCCTAGAAGATCGTCGCAAACTCAAGACCAATGTTCTCTTTTTCAAGGGCCTCCAGAATTTGACGTCTATCACAATTTATGATAAGGTCAGCTTCCGCAACACTGATTTCCACAATCTGACATCCTCCGATTCTCCCACTTTTATTCCCAACAAATGTAAAACTGGCATTTTTAGGCAAACTTTTTTTAACCGCATAAACAACTCCTGGAACGAAATTCCATCTAACCTAAGAAATCCACAAGTGCTTTCTTTTTTTAAATCGGGCCTACATTGTACTTGACCACTACTCACTAGCCAGTGATGTGTAATTTGGGTAGAGTTCACCCGTATATTTTTTATTATGCTAGTGCAAAAATTTGTGGCCGCTTTTAATCGTAGTTTTTCCTTTTTCTATTGAGTTTTTTCTTTGAACAGTATTTCCTTGTTTTCTTTGATTGTTTGCTTGTTGTTGTCCTTGTCCCCTGTTTTTCGGTTTTGATGTGTGAACAAGAGTCCCCATTTAGTGGGCCTGTGTGCCTGTTCGGGGTTTCCCTTTTGCACCACATGTCATTTCTAATGTATTTGTGCAATGAAGGTAATAAAATAAAATAAATAAAATAAACTCTTTAAAAAAATGGGACCCAGTTTATTCTAGCAAACATATGCACTGAAGGGGTGAGGAAGGTACATTTAAGGATCGTCCGTGCGGCTTTCTTTAGACATTTGTGGAGAATATTGTTGTGAGATAAATGTATCTTCCTCCTCATACAGTACAACAGTATTTAAAAGTTGGCATAACTGAGCTTACAACAATTGTGTGCAAGCTGCTTTGGGTATTAACATACCCAATTTAGACGAAACTATTTTTCTTACATTCGTGTATGTATTTATTAACGTGTGGGCCCCAACTTAATGGTTTGTCAATAATAACTCCCAAGCATTTACAACACTTTGCTATTAACAATGAGACTACCAGTATCAGCTATGTACATGTTCAATTGTATTGGAGATTTCTGCTTTGAACCAATCAGCATGCATTTAGCATGCATGCAACAATTGCTACATGTTAAAGTAGAGTCATCTGCAAACATCAACAAAAATAGTTTTGGGGATATAAGATGGTAGATCACTGGTGTAAATAATGAATTAAAGTACACCTAAGAATGACCCCTGCGGAACAGGGGTCATTCTGGCGACCATCTGGCGACCTCCCAGATGATGTAGAATCAGCCTGGTCCTGCATATCCTCAAACATCCCTGAAACAGCTGATGTAATAATCGGGAGGAAACAACGCCCGAAACAACGCCCAAAATAACGTCCTTGGCTTAACGACGCACATGACCCTCCCCTACCCCACCCTACCCAACAAACTGAAATATTAAACTACCGGTACATGTAACTAAAAGATCAAATGCTTACATTTATGTACATGTACGACATCACCACCATCACCACATTCCCCCACCCCGTTCCCCACCCTTCTCCCATCCCCTTCCCCTACCCTTTTGGAACAAAATTCGGCAAGTCAGAATTCTGAATAAATTAAAAAAGTTTCATCCCTGCTCTACATGCATTCAATAAAATCTACATCAAGTCTACAGTCTCACCCCGTTTGGTTAAATGAGTGTTTGGATTTGGGGTTTGTTACCAAATTTTCCTATAGATGCAATGCATGCATCAAATATCCAGCCAAACCAATACATCTATGTAAATCATCAATGAAGAGCATTTTCTTTTCCGTCAATTTTGCCCCCCCCCCCCCCATTTTATTAAGCAAAAGTTTTTCTCGAAATAGCAGAGAATTACAGAAAATGTTCCGTATTATTTGATAGGTTCTGCAGTTGTATGGGTCCCATATATGGTACACATGCAACTGAATGGGAAATAAGGAATAGGACATATTTCTTTCATAATTTCAAGGTAGTATACTCACATGGCAATATATCTTTGTATCTGTTTTTGCGTATGTTGCAGTCACGTTCCCCTTCCTGAGAAGGGTAAGTCTTTTCTGTCTTATACCTCATAGACTGCTGCTTGAGTGCCTGTAAATTATGCAAAACAACCAAAAACAAGATTACATGTACACTGCTCCCCTTAGTAGCCAATAAATGCAACTTACATGTGACAGTATCCACGTACAATTAGTTCCCAGGATGTACCAAAGATAAAGGAGTAAGCACTAGTGTTGGGCGGTTCAAGAATTTCTGGAGCCGGTTCCAGTTCTCTAAAAAAGAAGTGGTTCTACATGTAGTCGGAACCAGCTCCCGGAAAATTCAATAAAACACAAAAGCCCTTGCAATTACATGTAAAGTAATGGTAAATGTGTCACCTTCAAGGTCCTTGCTCCGTGAATTTTGGTGTGCAATACATGTTATTCTATAATGATTGGCTTTTTCTAGCGAAACTATGGATATTGTGTTATTAAAAGCAAATTTAAGAGTTTATTACTTTATTTTCTGTTCCTTGCCTATGATTTTGTTTACTGCGCCGACCGCCGACCGTGTAGAATGATGCACCACACACGTACCGGTACCGGTAAACACGATCGGAGCTGGCTAATTGTACCAACGTGTACCTGTTGTACCCTGGTCCATCAGAGCCGATTCCAGCACTCAGGTCCGGTTCCAAGCATGCTCGCACTAGGAGTCAAGCTTACCCAGCAGCAAGTAATTTGTACACTGAATGCGTATGCGTAAGTTCCCCGCTAGCGAGCTGCGGGGTTAGGCAGTCTGATAAAACCTGACTCCTATGATATGACCAGAGTGCTGAGTAACTTGTGATCTCCGCTGGCTGCACTGCAGGCATGCTTGGACCCGGCTCTTGAGTGCTGGAGTCAGCTCTGATGGACCTGGGTACAGGTACAAATACCCGGCTCTGAACGAGTCATGGATCTACCCAGATGTTAAATTGCATGAACATGAATACATCCAGTACCTCAGGTTGCTCTGGTAAAGGTTGGTGTGACGGCAACTTGATACATACACCAGACAAAGTTTATACAGAGGCAACTGGGCAGACCGGCCAAATGAATAATTTTAAAGATCATCACCTTCATGAATACAGAAGTATAGGGCCAATTTTTATTTCTACCATGGAAAAAAATCCTGATGTCTCGATGTACTGGGACGGTGCGGGTAGCAGTGTCGGTAACAACTCGATTACTCGAGTACACACAGGTACTCGGCCCGTACTCGACTATCAGTCCTCAAAAAAATGCTGGACTTGGCCCGTACTCGATTCTTCATACTCGAAAAACCGGACTGGACGGTTTGGTAATCGGTACTCGACCCCAGTAATCGGGAGTACACATCCAGTTCATTTCTTTTTAATCGATTCAATTGCTCAACCTGGAACGCATTGCTAGTACGATGGCGCGGTTGCAGCCTGCATTACGGCTTAGTCTAGTTCCCGCCTCCCCAATGTTACTAACATTCATGAATTGGGAGCTATCCGCGCTCATGCTTCTTATGTTCGTTCGCTCATCTCTTCACAGTTTTTCAATATGTAGGACTATTTGTGTACAATTGAAATAACAAACAACCAGCAATTGAGGTCTCGCTTTTTGGTTGGTTTTGTAAATTTTGGGTTTTTCTTGGGTACTTTGTTGTCTGGAAAAAGGTTTCTTCAAAATAGCTAATACTTCAGGTGTCTTTTTTTTTTTTTACAGGTGAAAACAAAGAGTGCCAGTTCATTCATTGATTTGATGAATTTTGTTTTTTATGAATTTTTTATTTGTTACATTGTTTACACTAATAAAAAGTTGTTTAGTGTCAACCAGTTGGTAAAGAAGATAAGATAGCATGCTGTGTTTGTTTCTATTTTATTTAATTTATTCGTTTATTTTGTTAAATTGATTTGTGTACTTTTTTGGTATTGTTCTCGAACTCGGACTCAGACTCGAACTTAGGTACTCGGCCCAGTACTTGGCCTTGAATGGTTTCTTACTCGGTGCTTTGGACTCGGACTCGTCATAGTGTACTTGGACTCGGACCTGGACTTGACCCCTAAAGTACTCAGAGTACTCTGTACTCAGCTTACTACTGGTTCAGACGAAATTGAATGATCAACGTGATACATGTACTTTTAATTTGCATGCATTTTTACAGGGACAACTGCAGCTAAAAGAGGATAGAATGCTCGAATATTGAAATTGAATGATTCTTTTTTTGATTGGTGAATGACGATCTGTGTGATCTTTCAATTTCAATCTAAATTGAATGAGCCAGGCGTCAAATTAAATGAAAACTTGGTGAAATTGGCCAGGAAAAATGTTTATTCACATATTTGGGTATTTTTTGGGGGAAAAGTATATTTTAGGGATTCTACTTACCTGTCCTTGCTTAAATAACATTTTCTAAAGAAACCGGATGAGTATGAGGACATAATAAAGATCCAAAATGGCTACCTTTTACTCCAAAGTTGCGCGCATTTACATTTCCCCCAGATATCATGAAGTAGTCTTGACAAACCTCAGTATTGATGAGCTTCAAATTCACAAAGTTACTTACTTGCACAGTAACAAAACTAAATGGAAATCGTGTGAAAAATGAAAACATCTTGATAGTTAGCCCAAAAAACAAAACAGGGGGAAAAATAAGGTGTCCGTAAATTCGGATAAAAATTAGCCTAACGTGGGAGACTTGAACAAGTTTAAGGAAATCCACAAAACTAAGAGATTATTGTTGCTTACAAAAAATATGTCAATGTTGAAATGTTGTTATTTTACCAATGAATTTGGGAACTTGTTCAAGTTTCCCAAGTTAGGCAACCCTTACCCTACCTTTTAGCCCATTTTACAGACACCTCGTTTGTCTTTATTTGCTGGGCTAAATATCACAATGTTATCATTGTTCACATGATTTTTCCATAAGGTGTTAATAGAGTAACTGTGCCAGTAAGCAACTTGGTGAATTTGAAGCTAATCAATACTGAGGTTTAGCAAGACTATACTGAATGATCTCTGGAGACAAGATAAATGCACACAACTTTAGGGTATAGTCATTTTGGATTGTTAGTACATTGTTTTGTATGTCCTCATGATTATTCAGTCACTCATATGCGTTATGTTAGAAAGTTAAACTGAAGTAGGATGTACTACTTGGATTTTTTAGGACTTTTATATATCATTCTAGGGACCTTAGGGCCTAACCTGGCCTATAGAAATGCACTGTGGTAAAAACAATTCTGTTGCAATTTGAGTGAGGTCAAACCTTATTTTGCCTGGACTAACTGGATATTGCATATATTCTGCAATGTTCGAGAAAGTGTCTGAAGTAAGGTGCTCTCTACCATGTGTCCACAATGCAATATTTCCGGCCGGACACGCGAGTGTGGAACAGATGAGTTCCAAAGTTGTTACAAAATACAAAAATGAAAAATAGAATTAGCTGTTGCAAACTGCTTACCAACCAAAAGGACCTATGGTATAAATGCAAAAAAATAGTTAGTGGCCTGACGTTTCGACCCTAGCAGAGTCTTTCTCGAAGGCTAAAAATGTTTAGCCTTCGAGAAAGACTCTGCTAGGGTCGAAACGTCAGGCCACTAACTATTTTTTTGCAAAATACAAAAATGAAATATTTTCAGCCCTCATCATGGTAGTGGATTTTTCAGTGTCGCTCGACAGCAGGTAGCTTACCTGGCAAAATGGCCTACAAGTTAAAAACATGGCCGAAACATCTGAAGCCCATACTTATGTATGGTTGTAGTGGGTTATGTCCTGCCGAAGCAGGCAGGGATTTGAGCTGGAGAATTCAAAGAAACTAATAAATCGTCGGCTGCACCACGAACCGACGTATCGCATTTTTTTGTGTTTCGAGAAAACCCGATTTAAAGTTGGTCATTATTTTGTAGGCTCATTCCATATACTCCCTGTGTAAGAATTCAAACTGTTTCGTTTTTGCTATTAAATTATAGATTGAACTTTATTGTATGCAATCCGTGTGCATCTGAGTTGCTTAGTTTTTGAGAAATTCAGTTCCAAAGTTATTTGTCACTTCGTGAAACAGATTTTTATCATGTTTATTGTATGTCATACAACGCGCTTAATAGTGGCCGTGTGCCAGATACGGAGATACGTCGGTTCGTGAAACGCTTAATTCAAATTTTTCATGTCAATGCGCCTTTGTGACGTCATAGCACTATGGGAATTAGCGTGTGAAGTGGCGTATAGTGGGGCATTTATCATTTTTTAGAGATATGCCACACAGTCTAATTAGCGTTCTTAGTTAATTAGAACTCCGATCGGAATAAAACTTTCTGAACACGAGCACTTTGATGAAATAATAACGTTAATGACAAAAACACAATTGAGCAAAAAATTGAGATACGCCGGTTCACGGTGCGACCGACGAAATGTTCCATGTATCAGTAAAAAAAAAAACTAAAACGAAAAATATCAAGCCCATTATCACGGTAGTGGATACTACCTGCGGAACTCTTATAACTGAAGGTCTTCCCGGGTGAATTTTCCCAAGAAAAAAATCAGAGGAGTTGTTGAGGATGTAAGACACCTATCCACATTAAAATAAAAATATTGTGATCATTTTAATGTTGGTTCTGTAGCGATAAAGATGCCCCTCCCAGGCCAAAAGCATCGGACCCATGATACACGTACTGTACATGCCGTGCATGAGGCCTATAGCGTGTGTACAAAAACCTGAGTGGGTAAAATGCGGAACTTTTTTTTATTGAAGGTCTTCCAGGGTGAATTTTCTCCAGAAAAAAAATCACAGGAGTTGTTGAGGATAATACACTTATTCACTTTAAAACTGTATTATTGTGATCATTTTTAATGTTGGTTCTGTAGCGATAAAGATGCCCCCTCCCACGGTATCGGACCCATTACACGTACTTTACATACTGTGGCGAATTTTTCCTGGGAGTCGAATTCAAACTTGGAGCCCCAGGAATAACGACACCCGTCTGAGGCGAACGCACCCGGTTTCCCAAGTCCAAATGGTACCTTAGACCCTAGAAACTACTCGCGCAATCTAATGGCCCTAGGGAATGAGCTCGTTTTGGGGAAAATATACCGCTAACTGGTTACTGATAGTCTGTGCTCCGAATTACTCTGAAATTAACTCAAATCTGACTCAACTGAAAGCCTCTTTAAAATAGAATGACTGAAGAACCTCTACAAAAATAATGAATGACTCGGCAGCCTAACACTGGCCAGACCACCGATGTTTACATGCAAGGTCACTGGCCCCACGCTGTAAGACTCTGTGTTCACTTGTCTCGATACTTGAATTCACAACGGAAGTTAGCCGAACAATCATGGGTTTTTTCACTGAGCGGGTTTTCTTTCCAACCCAACACTGTGACCCAAAATGCATGCACTCAATTCCTTACTCTGTGTGAACCAAGTATTTCAACACTACTTTACAACAACAAGTCTCAAGTTAAACTAGAATAACGGTACAAAGAGACCGTACAAATAAACAGTACAACTAAACAGTACAATTTAATAATTCCCTCAGCTTACGCTGTTCACTATCGGCGTACACTCTGGCTTAGTACAGGAGAACAATTGCGGCCAATCTGCTATGCACGCGCTAGCCAACAGCGGAGTACGGTCAATTCCTCCATGACTCCAAAGACGATGGGTAAACGAAACGCCAAAACCGCAACTGACAGCTTTGGACCGAAATACCACTCCAAACTCAAGAATTACTCACTTCAGTCGACGTCTCTAGACCAGGGTACTCTGGCTTGACTTGAACTCACGCAACTCCGGCGAATATACGAACACAAAGTGGCACTGGCATGTCTCAAAAGTTTGCTCTGAACTTTCTCCAAAAACACGAACCATGATCTCCAACTATGAACTGATTTCTGAACACGAACATGAACTGATTTTCCCACTCCGCGCACGGCTTTTTATATACCGTGGGCGAAACCGCAAGGCATGGCTGAAAGCCCCGCCCGGCAACAGCGTGGGAAAAGCAGATTGACTTCTACCGCGTAGACTGGCGCTTGTCCACACAGTCTTTACCATGAAAACAATGACTTAACATAAGCCCCTAAAGTAGATTCTGGGTTACCCGTTATTTTATGATTAATATAAGACATAACAATTACGTCTATTAACAAGAGCTGTCAATCAAAGAATCAGATTTGTTCCCAGTCGCTACCGCTGTCTTGTCACAAAACTGTGCATTAGGCCTATAGCGTGTGTACAAAAACCTGGGTGGGTTAAACATGGAACTCTTATCACTGAATGTGGAAAAGCATCAGACAGACCAATCACAGGGCACTTTGATTGGTCAACTGGATTGGTCACCAATCAAAGTGCCCTGTGATTGGTCAGGTGACAAATCAAAGTGCCCTGTGATTGGTCTGTCTGATGCTTGCCAGGAAACAGTCTAGCCAGCCATGCACCAGTCTACTTTTCCTGAATTCAAAATGGCAGCCTCAAACAAGGTGTTTGTGACAAGGATGTTTCCCGAATTGAAGGTGAAATTTCTCTTTTCTTCCAAAAGTTATGTAAACCTAACCACCACCATTTGTATATTTCCAATTCCCACTGAAGCCTACAGGGTCGCATAAGGCAGTTTGAAGACTGTTTTGGGGGTGAAATCTGAAGATTTTGATTGAGGGCACGAGTGAAAATGGTCAAAAACAGTTATTAGTAACGCAATAAGGCTACGTACCAGTACCTAGGACTCTACTATAGCCCGACCATGTCCAAATGTTAAAAAAGGCAATTCGTAGAGTCCTAGTTACTCGGACTACTCAAGCCCTAAATGACAACCCAATGATAAAATTTAGGGCTGGGTAACTCCAGCTACAATTTATGATGATTTTAGGACCGAGTAATGGGATTTGAACGTCAGTCTTTTTTCCAATTGAGTATTTTGTCTCTGTTCAGTATAATCTTCATTGTTTTGCAGAGTTCTGCAGAGTTCCGCACGTTCTGCAAGTTCCGCAAAATACAGTCGTTTTCCTAGTTCCGGATTTGTCCTAGTTCCGGATAGCTTCAAATAAAAACCTACCTCTTTTGGATAAGTCTCCAATAAAAAAAATTCGGACGATGTGCATTTTGAAAAGGAAAATGTAAGCTCCTTGATTACACAAAGATTTTTCCGATAAAATCTTTAGAAGAGGAATTTTGGCCAGATTTCCGACTCGCACTTTGACATGTTTGGACGGTTTGTAGAAAATCGAGGGAGCTGCGAATCGACGATAAATTTTCTCCTCGTTATATCACTTGAACCGTGTGATTTCGAATATTTTGTTCACACACTACAGTCGTATAAACTATTCCATCGAATGCTTGTTGAATCAAAAATAAGTTGTAAAGTCGCAAATTTTTGAAAATTCACAAACGAATGACCGTATGCTTTTGCCTAGTTCCGGATAGCGCGGGCACTTACGACCCAACTACACGTGCGTTATCATCGATTTTGTGTGACGTATTCTGTGCCGTGTCAAAAGATTTTCGGTCCGTGCGTGAGTTCGAGCCGTTGCGCTGCAGACAAAAGTTTCAAAATCATTTACGTTTTTTTCTCTTTTTAAAATTTGCTGGAATTCTCTTGAATGAATTATTTTTGGAAAATGAAATAATACTTTATCAGAAGATAAGCCTATGCTTGATTTGGTTGGTTCTGGCTGAAAAAAAAAATTCTCGCGTTATTTTTTTTTTTCGCGTGAAGCAGTTTTGATCGATTCGGAACTGATTGAACCGATCCGGAACTAGGAAAAGTGACATCGGTAGGGCCTACTTTTTACGTCGTAAAATCAAAATAAAAAGAGCTTAAATTTTGAAAATTATTTCGTGGTCTCTCTCCATCACTCAAGGTAAACTTTTTAATCAATGTCACTTGAATTTGTGGAGTAGTTGAGCCGAACGCAGCCTGAATGATGTTTGCTATCCGGAACTAGCTTGACTAGGAAAACGACTGTAGTCTGTAGTGTACTCGTTGCCGTAAAACATTACGATCCCGTCCGTTCACAACTTGACATGTTTACAGACTTACGCGTGTAAAACTTTATTTCACCACTCACCATGAATTCCTTCAGAAATCCATCTTCACCGTTCGTAGCCAACACCCGAAGATGTTCCTCGTGTTGTAAAAACGCTTCCAAACGTTCTCTTTGAGACATTTTAATAAGAAATCATCTAATCATAATTTAATAATAAACTGAGTAAGCTACTCTTGCTACGTAAAAGTTTAAAATTAAAGCTATAGTTTTACTAGTTAGCTTCAGGCGCGGCGCGGCTAGCTCTAGGGGAAGAGACACTGTGCATCTTTTTGTACGGTGACCTGTGAAACACGATTACGTCATCAAATTGAGCTATGGGGAAGGGCGCCCTTAGCGGTAGATAGGTAAACGCACGTGTAGCTAGCTAAATAACGTTAGCTCACCCGGCCGAGTCAACACGGGTAATATAAAAGCTGACGGGTCAGCCACCACAACCGGATCGAACCATGGAGCTATAAACATAGCTCCATGATCGAACGCACCCCTCGTGTAAACTGCGAGCGAGATTTCATTGATCAGTTAGGAAGAAAAAACGTTAAATAGCCGAATACACTGGAAATTAATTTTAAAAATGAAGGAAACGAATACATGAATAAAAGGGGGATAAATGGAGACCTGTCAGTGATAATATAGAGTGACACGTTGAGATTTTTAGCAACTTATCAATATCTGAGAATATAGGTTTTCTCGGTCAATTTCGGCAAATGAGCAGCCAATTTAACCACTACGCTATTCTATTTCGCGCGAAATCAAATGCTACTGAAAAGGGTCATTCGATTTCGTTTTATGACCAGTCAAATGTACTGTTGCGTCATTCGATTTAACAAAATAATCACGCAATTTAACAATTCAGCATTCAAATACGCAGGAGCTTTTTGAGGCGTGTGTTTAGTCATTCAAATTCATTTTTGGGCAGTCATTTCTGGAATTTGTGCAATCTAAAAAACGCTTTGTTTCCTTAAGAATGTTGAAGGCATAAATACGGTTCACTTTTTGGCACTTGAGTCACTTTGCCGATGTACTTCGAAGACGAGCTTTCGCTACAGTTTTACCCGCATATTTCTAGAAATGGCAGCTCGTGGTCGCTACGCTAGAGTGGCCCAGGTAGATCGAGAAAGGTTGATTGAGGCCTTCGAGGGAAACGAGCAAGACTACCTTGAGCTTGCGGTCAATTTGAACATCAACAAGTCCACAGCCAGATCAATTGTTGCAACATATTTGAGGACTGGAAGGCGAGAGACGCTGGCAAGAGGAGGAGCAACCCACAGCAAGATGGATGATGACATGCGAAACCACCTGCAAGGCATCCTTGACGCTAATCCCGTCTTGACACTTCAACAAATGAAGGCTAGTTTGAGTGAGCATCTGCCAGAGTAGCCCCAGGTTTCTACTGCCACCATAGCCAGGGCCTTGGATGGGATGATGATGGTACCAAGATGGTACACTGAAACTAGTGGAGGACGTCCCTGATGCAAGAAATTCCCCTGAAGTTCTTGATCAACGCGTCCAGTATGGTGAGTGGTTCCTGCAGCATGGTGTTCTGGCGCATCTAGTCTTCATGGACGAGACAGGTTATAACGTCTGGACTCGACGCTCCCAGGGTAGAGCTCCACGAGGGATCGCTGCAAGACGAGTCGTCGACAGACAACGAGGGAGAAATTGCAATGTCACCTTCGCTGTTTCTAGTGAAGTAGGCTTGGTGCACCACCGAATCGCATTCGAAACTGTGATTCGAGAGAGATTCGAGGAGTTTCTTGCGGACACAATTCAAGAGTGTGATGCAGTTTTCCCAGACGACGAACCCATTTACCTCATATACGACAATGCGAGGCCTCACGTGCGAGCCCAACTCCCTGAAGGTGCCAACCCAATGATCCAGCTGAAGCGCCTCCCTCCCTACTCCCCATTCCTGAACAGCACGGAGATGGCACACTCTGCATTCAAGGCTGCAGTTGAACGCATCCTTGGGTTACCTGAGTGGCAACAACGTGTCGGAGACAGACAGGCTGCCCAGCAAGCAGGAATGAACATGCAGCAGTGGAGGTGCGATCTCCTTCAACAAGCAGCCATCCAGAGCGTTGATGTCATCACCCAAGTGAAGTGCATGCAGTGGTACAACCATACCCAAACATATATGCCAAGATGTCTGGCACGCCAACAGATTGATGGTTGAGGAAGAAACAACATAAACAATAAAAAAAAACCAGGAAAAACATAAAGAAACACCCCATTCAAACACAATACAAAATGTGGTCTTGGTCAGTTAACCAATAAAGATCCCCCCCCCCAAAAAAAAAAAATGAAGAAGAAAACAAAGAAGAAGAAAAAACCTCATTGGCCCCATGTAAAGTCTACTGGAAGTATAAATAAAGAAAACAAGGTTTGCCTGAATTAAAGTGAAGATACGAAACAGTTGCCTAGTACAGTTTATCTGTTTATTCGTATTTCTTTAGTCGTACTTATTTGAATTCTCTTTAAAGCGAAATTGATTGCCTCTTTACGAAATTGAAAAAAAAAAAAATCAGTAAAATATCCAGTCGAACCAGCTTTGCTAAATTGAACGATGATTGTGTGTCACGAAAAAGAATGACGATAATGCTAAATTGAACACAGTGCTAAAGGAATTTGAATGCCTCAAAACGACATTGAATGGCCGAATTCTGAATTTGAAACGCAGTAACAACTGGAGAGGCAAAATAGCTTCAATTCGAACGCACGAAAATTAAATTGGCTGCTCATTTGCCGAAATTGACCGAGAAAACCAACTACCATAATCATGTAAGATATTTGGGGGGAGGGGCATGGGGAGACCGGGCAATGTAACCAATAAGGACTCTATCGGCGATTGCATCAAAAGTCTACAATTTTCCTCAAGTTTTTGCCTTGAAGAAAAAATCCGCATTACCTTTGCTCATAATATGAATAGAATGCTTATATGATCCCCTTCAAATTGTAGTAGCTATGCATTACATTAAAAGCGTTGTGTTAACTTCTTAATATTTACTTTAAAACAATTTTGAAGCCATAATAAACAATAATTCACATGATGCAAAGTGAAAATAGTTTGGGTAAATGGTTCATATTACCACCCCTATCTCTGAATCATATCTATATATTTCCCTGTACAGTATTAACTCATTAGCATAGTACTGTAAACTATCAACAACAAAATTTAGGTACTTTTAGGCAATTCCCCATGAAGCAGATAAGTGGTGCTATTAATCAGATAATAAAGTGCTATAAAATGTTACATATCTGCATGATTACCAAAGAAAAAAATAGTTATCACGTTGAGTGCATGGATGGAGCAAATCTGCTTTTTACCTACCTTTTGCTGGGGGCGCCCTTCCATTATGACCTCTGAGCAAGTTTCCTGTTTCACTTTTTTCAGCGGGCTGTCATATCTTCCCTGTACTACCGTTCCTACAAAACACGCACGCGTACCGTACCAGGAAATGATTAGTTCCTTATTATTTTTATAATAATGTGGGACACTCCGTTTGCAAAAAAAAAGTGAACCAGGAAGCTGTAAGCTGCCCATGGGGAAGGGCGCCTCCACGTCACTGGTAGGTACTCCCAAGCCGAGGAACTCCCTAGATGTTTCTATAAAAAGATATATGGAATCTTCCAAACTACTATAACTATATTTAGTCTATTTATTTACATGTCTCATAGGGTTGCCAAACTTACTGCCCTTTTCTGGCTTAGTTTACTGTCTTATTGTATATTTGTATTTAGTGTTAATACATAGTTTACTGTCTTATTGTATGTGTATTTAGTGTTAATACAATTTGTTTAATTAATTAATTATTTAATTAATATTAATGGGGATCCCTACTCGACAAGCAGTTGCTTTTTGGAGACCCCATTTCGCTCGTACCCCCCGCCCTGCAAACAGGACGCTGGGATACTCTGATGAATTCACGCCCTGATTGGTTGGATTTTGCGTGACCAGTGACCTGCGCGTCATCAAGGTCATGACTCTGCAAGGTTTGTAACGGCCGTTAAGATTGATTCATTGCTCTCTTTTTTCCAGTTTAGAGATGGTTTTTTTTCTCGTTGAAAAGCGTAATAATGTAGGAAATTCTGTAAAACTTATCTGTGTTGTAAATTTACAATTCCCGTCACTTGCTCAGGCTCCGTTTCGAATCACGAACGGTCGGATTGCATTATGCGACGCTCAAAATTGTGTCCACATGGTCCGCAATGAAACAGAAATCACATCCGGTATGGAATGTGTGCATTTCTATAAGAAGTTGTTTTTCGGATAGCATTTGCGCACATTGTGTAACTGCGGTCTTGAACAGCTGCAGCCAGATGCTTTATACATATGTCATAGCTCACTTCCTTCACAAGATTCTGTGAAGCTCATCACAGAGTATCCCAGCGTCCTGTTTGCAGGGCGGGGGGGGGGGGGCGGGACGAGCGAAGGACCCCATCCACATTTACTTTTCCTTTCGTATATTCGCTCGTACCCCCGCTCTGCAAAAAGGACGCTGGGAAGGGCTGACGAATTAACGCTCTGATTGAATAGATTTTGGGTGACCTGTGACCTGCAAGTCATCACGACCACGACCCTGCAAGGTTTGAAACGGCCGTTGACACCGAGTCATTCATCACTTTTTTTATTCCCATTCATAAATGCGGCGCCATTTTTTGGTTGAAAAAAGCATAATAATGTAGGAAAATCTGTAAAAATCTCTTTCAACTCCCGTCAGTTACTCGGGCTCCGTTTCGAACTCACGAAGGGTGGAAATGTATATCATTCAACGCTCAAAGTTTGTCCACATGGTCCGCAATGAAAAAAAGGAAACATCCGGTGTGGTGCGTATGCATTTCTACGGCAAACTTTTCGGATAGTATTTGCGCGCTTTGGCTAACCGCGTTCAACAGCTGCAGCCAGATGGTTTATACCCAGAATGCCATCCCCACTTACTTCACAAGATTATGTGAAGCTCATCTGCCCTTCCCTAGCGCCCTGTTTGCAGGGCGGGGGTACGAGCGAATTTCGTATATTGCGTATTTTCGTATATTTCGTATATTGCTGGCACACTCTCTGCATCCCACAGGAGTTAAAAGACGCCAATATAATCACTCTGTACAAAAACAAAGGCAGTTAAGACTGCAATAATTACAGGGGTATATCTCTACTGAGCTTAGCTGGCAAGGTCTTCTGCCGTGTGCTACTGCCCAGGCTGCAGGTCATTGCCAACAAGATCCTTCCTGAGAGCCAATGTGGCTTTCGTTCGTCTCGCTCTTCCTC